TCGCCAAAACTAGACTGTAAACAAAAATATGAACCTTCCTATTTTATTATTAATTAAATAATATCTCTTAGATAATAAAATGCCAATTTAAGTAATTTTACTTAAAATACAAAAACACTCTGCCTAACCCTTCTGAGTCACAAAAAGGATGTGTTTGTGTGTGTGCATATATTATGAGTGTGTGCACGTTGGTACATATTGGTATACTGTATGTGTTTTTTTTTACTTGTGTTTATAAGCTGTTTTCTGTGTGTGTTAGCTTCAAAGGTATTTTAATATCCCAAAAATATAAAAATAAGCTAGTGGGTTTATGGTATTAACCCCATGATCATCTAGTAGGAACCCTGGGACTAGAGCTGTTTGCTCCTGCAGACAAAGGTACTTTTATACGCCAGATGAATCCAGCCAGACTGACAGACGACAGTGATTGGGGTCAAGTGTCAGTTCCTATATGAAATCTGATGCCAGAACCAAATATGAGCCAGGCAGGAGGGTTTTGAGTCCTAAGTCTCCCTGTGTGGGTTCCAGGCCCCATTGTGGGGAAAACAAGAATAGACCCACTGCCTACCCAACCAGCATGTCGTAAGAGTCTACTAAATGGAAGCGTCCTTCAAAGTCGGAGTTCATCTGCCTGAGAGGCAAGGAATGAACAGCCTGCTTGGAAATGAGTTGACCCGTGAAACGGATGTGCTCGCAACTCTAAGTTTCTGGAACTGGACTAGAATCCAGAAATGGACGAACAGCCAGAATTTTCCAGCCGGTGAGTGTGAAGAAGAAGAAGAAGAAGAAGAAAACGAAGAAGAGCCCTATGTTGGCCATACTACCTGAGAGGATTGTATGTGTTGTCCAGCAGTAATCCTAACCCACACAGAACTGCAGGTTACAACAGGCAGGTGTAGCCATTCGCTGTGATCTAATTATAACTTCTTTGGAGGTTGAACGAGGTATCTGGGATCTGCCTTGTTGGTCTCCATCCAAATTGAGATTATTTAATCTAAGGATGGTATGTTAACCTTTAGGTAGCAGGCTGAAGGTGCCAGACAGGTTGACTGGTGAGTCCAACAGTAGACAGAGGCGTCATGGCTGTAATTAATGGCATTGAAATAGATCCTTGTTGATCTAAACAAAACTGGACTGAAAAAAGATTCACGACTGGGGAATATCATCAACTAAATTGACTGAGCAAAAAAATCAAAGTCAAAATATTGAGAGCATGCATCTTTCCTATAACAAAATACGGACGTGAGTCGGGGACTTTCTCACAGTCCTTAAAGAAGATTATAGGAGCTTTTTATCTTAAATGCTATAGAAATATTGTCAGAATGCACAGGAAATAGAAGTAAAGAAATACTGACATTCTAAAAAATCTAAATATCCAGGAATATTGGCTAATAAACAGCATCTTGTCTCGGAAGCTGACATATTTTGGCTAAATCAAGTGCCACAGCAGACTGAAAAAAAAAAAAAAACTTATAACGGAAGGTTCAGTGCTAGGACGAATGGGCAGGAGCTGACTAGAAGAAGATGAGCTTGGGATATAAGTGACTCCTTGAATATAAAAGTGCAAGAGGTTGGAGAACTGGCGAGAGACCCAGTTTCTTTCAGGCAGACCGTGAGGAGAGTGACGTTCTGCAAAGGACCTGCTTCATGTTGATGATGATGACTGAGAAAACTAATGACTGAGAGAAGGGAAGAGACATGAATTATCATGAAATCTGGCAAGTAATAAATTGTTTTTACACATGCATAACACAGCTTGTTTGTTTAGATCTCTCACAAACCAATTCATTTTGATATCATTTATGTTTGTTTTTAGTTCCAGGGCTCTTTTTCCTAGAAGAAAAGGTGCCGGTACTCACAAAACATGCCCAAATAAAGGTGCTGATACTTATCACAAAGTCTATTGCAGCAGTAGTAAAAAAAAATGTATGCTATTATATACACAAACTAGTTATCTCCTTGTGAGATGCAATTTTTTGTTATTGGAAGCCCCTCCCTGGCTTCTGCCAGGGGCCCTGAATATATCTGGGCCACAAATGTGGCCATTATGGCTGAAAGGAGTTTCTGGGACCTCTCCATGGGTGATCCTCATCCGCTTGTTGGTACTTTGTGTCACCGGGTGTTTATCGCTTGTATGATGTCCTGGTGGGGTACAGCAAGCTAGCAACCAAAATGATGCTTTAAAAGTTTGCCGGTACCGTCAGAAAAAAAACACCTGATTAATTTTAATGCTTTGAACTTTTGACCTACTGTTTTGCATTTTCCTGCAGGGAGTTCCTGGACCCAGAGGTCCACCCGGCCCACCCGGACCACCTGTAAGTGGACTTGATGTTTTGTTTCATTATTTTGTAACACTCTGCGCACAAGCTTGACTTTTTTATTAGTATCTGAACATCATTTCAGGTCAATTTCTGAAGGAACATTCCAGAGCAAAACGAGAAACTGCAAAATCTGAAGCCTGTCGAGATTTTCACATAAAGCATGAACACCATAGCTCTGGTGACAATCCCCAGAGGTCTCAGTTGTTACTTTACGGTAGTGAATGTGGTTGGTCAGAGAAATTAATTTAAGAGTATTATAGAATGGAATGAACTAAAGCTTGCTTTAATATGAACTAATGTTCTATTTTTCTTCTATTCTTCCATATCGCATGCTGGTCTCTAAATGTTTTTTGGTCTGTCTTTATTTCTATGCCCCTGTGGGTTTCAGTGCAAAGACATACTAGTTATACGGTTCTCAGCTTTTCTCAACATTTGTCCTATCCAATGCCAACATCTTTTTTTTTTTCAACACCTTGGTCCACTGGGACTTGTTTAGTTCTCTCCCAAAACTCGACATTAGGGATTTCATCACACCAATTTCAATCCCTGTATTCTGGCGCAGTTAGTGAATGTTTGTAGTTTATTAGTAACTGTTTTAGTTGTTCTCCATGTTTCTGCTCCGAACAATGGTACTAATCTAAGATTAAAAGAATAGAATAAAAAATTTGGTTTAGAGTGAAGACATTTTTGGGTTAGAATCAGGTTATGTTTATTTCAGAATAAGGTTAAGTTTGGTTTAGAATAAATTGAAGTTTGGTTTAGAGTGAATAACAATTTTGATGAGAATGACTTGAAATTTTGTTCAGAATGGGTTGAAGTGTACCTTGAAATGAGTTGAAAATGATTAAAAATAGCTTACATTTTTGTTCAGAATTAGTAACAGTTGTATCAAGAGTGAGTTAACTTTGGTTCAGAATGAGGTAAAGTTTGGTTTAGAGTGAGGTAAAGTTTGATCTAGAATGCTTAATAGTTTGTTTAATAATGAGGTGAAAATGTTATTTTGTTGAGGTAAAATTTTGATTTAGAATAGGCAGAATGCAGTTTTATAATATTAACAAAATAATGTTCCTTTAGGATGAGTCAGAGATTGATTTAGAATGAGTTAAAAGCAGTAGTCATGATGTCTGACTCTAGCCTGTTTTGACGTGGTACTATTTATGTTATGTACTGTAGACTTTTGCAACAAAAGAATATATAAAAATCCTGGTTTGTTGTTCATCAACTAAAGGGAGATAAGAGGAATGCATGTGTTCCCACTAAACAACTGGGCATTTGTTATTATTTCAGGGGCAACCTGGCTACCAAGGACCACGTGGAGAATCAGGAGAGCCTGGGCCACCGGTACGTTAGCACCATCATCACAATCATCACCATCATCACCATCATCGTAATTGTATTCTTGTCATCATCAACACCTCCTTTGCCATGATTATGTTAATGAAGGTAGTAGGGTTTGACGCATATCAGTTTCATATTCGTTTCAGGGCACACAGGTGTTCAAGGAAATGAGCAAGCTGATAGGCTTGCAGGTAAGGCTATTGTGAAGGACGGACATGCCGTGAACATAGCAGAGTCAGATAGAAACTAGGCTGATATACTGAATGCTCTACGATAAGTGAGACATTTGCAAGAGCCAAGTGATGACTGTGAATCTGCAAGAACAACATGTTAAAAAGGGTATGGCCAGACAAAAGCACATGCAGGAAGCCAAAGAAGAATAAGAAACCAACACTTGACTAGTGTCGTCAGACTAGTGTCATCAGCCGCTGCATGCTGCTGAGGAGGGGATCCAAGCACTTATTGACTGAATGGTGTGATGTTCAGTGAAACATCAACCACATTTAAGGTCTACCTTGTTAATAACAATGTGATAGCATTACTCTTTTCTCTCTATTCATCATCTTAGAGTCAGACATTGCTGATGTTGATTATGACATGATAATGAAGAGGAGGAAAATAATTTTGAATGCTGAATGGTGAATTAAGAATCATCACAGAACTCAGGACACTTCCATAAGCACTCCGTCCCCATCTTCTACAGCAAATGAAGAGTTCCAGTTCCGATAGCACCAGTAACAGTCTGATTGTATATACATCTCACCTTTTCCACCCAGGTTGTATATATCACATAGTAGATTAGAAATAACAAAATAACAAAATACTCGAACTGTTGTCTATCATTTAGGGCACGCCGGGCGGTCGTGGATTCCCTGGACCACCAGGCCCACCAGGACCAGAGGTAATTGTTCATGACAGCATTTTTTTTTAACATTATTTTTAATTTTAATGTCAGCATTTGTTTTAAGAACAGTTTTTGTTTTAACGTCCTTATTTGTTTTAAGGGCATTGTTTGTTTTAATATTATTGTTTTTTTTATAAAATCATAGTTCATTGTAACAACAGCGTTTGTTTTAACATTAACATTTGTTTAAATATCACTGTTAGTTTTAGCTTTCACGAATTAGCATACTTATGTCTGCAGCTGAGTTATCTTCGATTTTTTCCTGTGGGCAAAAAAAAGGCCGACCTACCAGCACAAGATTGCAGGTCTCACCAAACTGGTAAAGCCATTATGGGTGCCCAAATTATAACATCTCTGAAGGTTGAACAAGCTATCTGGATCTGTCCGGTTGGCTTACCATCCAGACTAAGATTTTGTCATTTATGCGTGGTCAGACCTTCAGTTTGCAGCGTGAAGGGGAAAAAATGGAAGGGGTTAAGTTCAAGTGATTCAAGAACCGACATCACAGCACTCGGAGCATTTCCATAAGCGCACCATACCCATCATCAACAGCCAGCGCAGAGTTCCAATACAAATGGTGCCACTAGTCTTCTGATTAAACGTCTGTCTTCCCTTTCCTCTGAGCATCGAGTATTTTCACATTGTAATTTAACTTGGAAGGACAGATTTTGTGTGTGTTTGAAACTGCTATGACTAATGACAATTTGTTTTCCCCCAGCGTGATTGTCAGGACCCTGTTTGTGGGAGCTGGGGATGGGGAATTAAAGAACAGACCTCAAGTTATAAAAAGAAGTCATAGACACTTTCTCTTTTGCCTTCAGACATATTGGGCAAATAGGGTTAGATGTGTGTGTTATAGAACAATCACACTCCTGGGTGATGTTTTCAGCATCACGCCTACCCCATTTACTTCCCAGGACTTTACCTGGTAAACATTTAAGGCTGTATCGGCCTGGGAGCTAAGACTGTTTCTGAAAAAAAGAAAGGTCCAGCTTCACCAGGACCTGAACCCACAACCTTTAAATCCACAGGCGAGTGAAGAATAGACCTACTGCCCCTTTAGTAAGCATGTTATATGAGGCGGGTAATTAAGCGTTTGCTGAAATCAGATGTGTTGACCTGAAGGACACTGATATCGCAGCCTTGCTGTAACATGTCAACCGCTTTTCCAAGGGCAAACACAGGAGAAGAAGAAAGCATTGTTATAGTTTCCTGTCTGCTGGTTTATGTAAGTCATATCAATATTTGAATTCTACCAAAGATGACTGTTTTATCCTATATGTTTGTGTTAGTGTTGCATATAATATCTATATTTGTATTCTAACAAATGTGGCTGCTTTGTCCTACAGGGAGACGAGGGTTTGCCAGGTGAGCCGGGACCTGCAGGACCTATTGGACCTGCTGTAAGTTAAAGCCATTTCTACGAGCATGTTCACTAAATGTTGCTGTTAGAAATAAATGAGCTTAACTTTTCCAGTCTGACAAATAGCTATCTAATGTATGAGGGCGTTCAGAATGGCAATACTAAACCCATGGGAACATTACTTTGAGAGGGGCTAAATACAAGGGAAAGTCAATAACTAAGTCACAAATGATTTTGGGATGGCAGGAAAATCTAGTTGGTAGTTTCTAAATTGATTTGATTTGATTTGAACGACGGATCATTATCATGGCACAAGGGTAGTAATCCATAAGTGTTTCATTCTACTGATAACTCCCACTTCAGTCTGAATAATTACAGCGCAGTGCACAAACTTCGTGCTTCAAACTTTAGGATCATGAAAAAATTTGGGTAGAATTTTAACTCCAAGTTTTGCCTGGGCAGGGTCATTAGGCTACTGTTTTTATTTTACAACTACCAAGGGACCTTTTGTTACGTGTGCAACAATACACACGGGCGTCCGATCTTACTACCCAGAGACCAGGGGTCCACGTGAAAAAATCCCAGCCTTCACTGGGGCCTGAACCCGGGACCTCCAGCACTCAAGGCAGATGCCATGCCTCAAGACCACTTACCTCCCTAGTAGTTTTTAAAGGTGTCATTAGGTGACAGCAACATCTAACTTTATGCCTCCGTTCATTAGGTGGCGTTGGGTGTTACATGCGCATTCACAGCACAGAAACAAAATGGCGACTGTACTTACCGAGTATACCCTCAGAGAACAACCTGCTGTTGGACATTTTTGTTTGGGGGAAAGGGCTGACTGCAAAGATCATTCATAGGGAATTGCTTTCTGTTTATGCTGACAAATGTTTATCCTGTAAAGCGGTGCATAGCTGGGTTAAAAAACATTTCTCAAGGACACTCTAAAATTGTTGATGAAGTCTGATCTAGTCGTCCTTTTGAGATAGCAACAGATGCATCAATGTAGCAGGTAGAGGAGATGATAAGAGATGACAGGCAAGTAACGGTTGACTCTGTAGCAGCTTCAGTAGGGTGCCCACATGGTTCAGCATACATTATAAAAACACCAAGGCGGGAGACATTTCACGAATGATGCAGAAGCTGAATGTGAAGTGAAAATGTGATTTTGAAAACAGAGTACACAGTTCTATGCAGTAGGTTTGGGTGGACTGATAAAACGATAGGAAAAGTGCATCAATTTTGGTAGAAATTATGTTGAAAAATAAAGGAACAGTGTATGTGTAAATATAATTGGTTTTTAAGTAGTTATCATCTTTAGTTTTTTTTCTTTTTTTTAAACAAAAATTTGTGACTCACATATTGACTTCCCCTCATATATAACCCTTGTATGAAACAAAAAAGTTGTATGAGTTCTTCAACAATAGTTTTTAAAATGGACATGACATATTGATTGGTACACATGAATAACACCCAATCACACATAGTGTCTTGTTTGGGTCAGAAAGAGTTAAAGCCAGACACGTTTTATCGCCCAGACATGACTAATTTCTGCTGTCCTAAACAACATACTCCCTGTTGTCAGTTATTTCTGTGCGTATCAGATAGCACATAACGTTTTTTTTATTTTTTTTTTTCAACATTTTGTCAAGCATACCAAAAAATCTGGCTAGACATTTGTATATAAATTCAATGTTAAGAGCAGAATAGGCCAAGAAATATTCTTTATGAAAATTCTTTATTGGCATCGCTAAGGGCTTGATTCCCATATTTGCCCATAGGACAGTGGAACAATATAGTCTGGAAAGACAGAAAGTTGTCTGCAATTCTGCTCTTGATCACTGTCATGTACTTTCCATCTAAAGTAGTAATTGCTTCCAAACACAGGGTCTCCTCGATCTATGACTAAGTTGCATTTAGCCTAACAAGTCCAAGATCAAACTGGTCTCAAGTTAAATCTATATATATATATATATATATTCAGCACTATTTTTATTCAAACAGGTTATAAGAATTGTACATAAAACACAAAAATTCAGTTGTTCCAGTTGTTCATAAAATACAAAAATAATATAGTTTATTATGTACATATAATTATTGTTCACAGGCCTCTGTGTCTTCTTCTTCTGCCTTTCTATCCCCCAATGGAGCATAGGCCCTCAGCCAACTCACGCCAAGTCGTTCTATTCTTCGCCATTGCATGGAGCTCTCCCCATGTCCTCCCCATCTTTCTAACTTCATTCTCCAGCGCTCTTCTCTATGTTTTTTTTTTTTTTGCTTTCCTCTATTCCTATGCCTCTGTGGGTTCCAATGCAAAGACATTCTGGTTATGCTGTTCTCCTGTTTTCTCAGTGTGTGTCCAATCAAGTGCTAGTGTCTGTGTACACTGTAGGTATTATTTCCAGGAAGTGTTTGTCCCTACGAATCTGGTCATGTTTCTTAATTTACTATTTTTTTAATAGGTTTCCTCCCTTGGTCTTGAAGATCGATGGTTATAAGTCGCATAGGTCATAAGTCCATGGGAAGGTTTAGGCATTTTTCCTGCAACTGTAATATCTTCTTCTTCTTCTGCATTCATCCGAAGATGTAATTGCATTGTGTCCGTTTACAGCATGCCTTTCGGCCAACACATCTGACTTCTGCAGGCATTTGTTGACCGGGTTACCTTCCTTGTCAGTGTAATAGAATTTTATGGTTTACTGTTTTCTCCGATGTAATTTGTCACCATTTTATTGATATCATTTATTCTTATAATGGTATTATATCTTCAGGGTGAAAGTGGTCGCCCTGGTGTACCTGGCATGCCTGGCCCTAAAGGACATCGTGTAAGTTTTGTGCCAGTTTGTCCAGAGAAAATCCTTACCATTTTCATCAACATTGTAATTAGTTATAATAAAATGTCAACATCATTCCATTATCATCATTCCCACAGTTATAATCGTTATATCAGTGCTATTATCTACATCATCATTTATATCATCATCTATATCATCGTCAATATTATCAGCTTCATCATAATGAGTATGCACATCTTTATGGGAGACATCGAAGAGTAACAGCTGGACTTTTACCTGCGGATCTTAAATTCCTGGCTTCTGGTCTTGACAGAGCCATACTTATCAAAAACCACCTTGGCTCCCACATTAACCCAGCCTCAAATGGGAAACAAGTAAAGTCCTAGGGGAAAAAAAAACATTGGTCAGTGTGATGCTGACCACATCAGCCACCTAGTGACGGTTGGTCAATAAAATATAGGCCAAGCACTGTATGTTTAATATGCCTGAAGGTGTGGAAAAAAAGTCCTTTGACTTTACTTTTATAACATAACTGCTGAGTTGCCGACAAGCATCTCTGTGACATATTTATACGACACACACAAACATAAAACATATAATCCCTAACATAAAGGTTTCAAGGAGGTGACGAAACAAAAGTTGGGTTTGAAAGGACTAATAAATGGACAGCCAGTAAACAGACAGTTGGATAGACAGATGGACAGCCAGCCAAACAGGCAGATATATGAACATATCCTTGAGGAAAGTTTAGACTTATTTTATTCATGACATCTTTTGTTGTCTACTATTCTCATACTATAAAACAAAATCTGGCACTGTCCACATAAAAGGAAATATCTTGTTGTCTACTATTTTCATAAAATGAAATATCTGGTGGTCTTCCTTTTTTCTTTCCAGGGATTTCCTGGACGAGAAGGTCCCGAAGGTCAGCCTGGACGACAAGGAGAAAAGGTAACAGATTTAACTAGCATATTCCACTGTACTCCATTTATTAGTAATTTTAGCTTAAATCAACAACTATTTTCCATTCTATTCTTTCACAGAAATGCCTCTTCCTGTTACTCCACAAAGGGGATTTGGGGCGGGGGCATCTCTCTTAGTGTCTTGGCCTTCTTTTTTCTGGGGGATCTGGTTTGGAGTCTTGTCCCTTCCTGTCTGGGCTGCAGTTGTCAGGGAAGTCTCATTGGAGTTGACTTCTCGTCTGTTTCTTTTCATTTTTGTTTCCTTCTTTCTAGGGGTGTTTTTCTTGGGCAAAGAAGAGAAGAAAAACCTAACATCTTATCTCAGAGGCTAAAATATTTTGGTCATATCAAATGCCATGGCTGACTGGAAAAAAGCAATAGCAGAAGGCATGTGCCAGGAAGGAGAGGCAGGGGGGCCGACTGACATGAAGATGGGCACAGGACATAAGTGACTTCTTTAATATGAAAGTAGACAAGGCGAGACAGCTAACGAGAGGCCGAGTTTCTTTCGGGCAGACCGTGATGCGAGCCGCGTTCTGCAAAGGACCTGCTTCATGATGATGTTGATACTTATATAAACACTCTGATTAAGTAAAATTAATCAAATTGCCATCAAAGGACACAGAACTAAGGATGAAATGAAAAGTAACAAACAGCAATATATTTTAAAGTGATTAATTAAAGTAAAATGTAGATTCCATTACTTGTTTGAAGCCAAAAAGGAAGTTTTAAGTTTTTAAAACTGCTTTTGATGTGTTTATTAGTCTTTTATAAACAATGAACATTTGAACCAGAATGAAAATGCATTGTAGCACAATTATAACCACTATAAAAGTTTAAAAAAAAACACATATGGGCTAAACTGTGGCACTTATAATAGTAGCTCTGTAAACAAAATCGACATGGATTTTTTGGCGGGTACACATACAAGTACCTTGTAACGATAATTATCGTATTGGCAAGTATGCATATAAGTACCTTGTAACGATAATTATCGTATTGGCAAGTACACATACTAGTACCTTGTAACGATAATTATCATATTGGTAAGTATGCATACAAGTACCTTATAATGATATTTGACGTATTGGCAGGGGACTGACAGAATAGACAGACCCAAACTGTGGGCTATTCTTGAAAATTATGGGATACAAGGACAATTTCGAGACATTTTACCACATTACTCAAAGCGCAGTGAGAAAACTAAAAGACAATTCTGATTTGTTTACAGTCAATACAGCAGTGAGGCAGGGATGTGTGTTCTCTCCTCTTTTATTCACTATATACATAGACAGAATATCAAAGTAAACCAGCTGTAAAGTAGTTGACCCAGAAAATGAGGAACTTTATTTTCCAGAGGAAGATTTAGATTGACACACAATGAACAAGCTATATGTAGATGATCAGTGCCTGTTTTACATTGAGGGGAGTAGACCCCAGTGGTTTGTGATAGGATATTCAGAATATGGCAAGTATTCCATTTGCTTCTGGGCTGACTTGGTGCCTTAGGCAATAATATTGCATGTTTGTGCCTGATAACTTTCTTTTATGACAGACTGAAGTTCTGGTGAAAACTGTTGGTGTTGACACATTTAGCAGCTGCCTAATGCCTAAACTTCTGGTTTTTACCATGATTAATGTGTTTGATCACTATTTGTCAAATAAGAGAGTGAAGGGCACACTTCGTGATCTTCCCTGCTACAAGAGTAGAACAAATATGGGTTGAGCTGTTTGCAATGTAGCTGAAATTATCAACTACTGACTGTTACAGTCAATGTTTATTAATGTTTATTCTGTATACATTAAATGTTTATTGTATTAACTGTTGAACAGGGTTCTGTAGGATCTTCCGGGCCTGCAGGGGCTCCAGGGCAGGCTGGTCCTCGTGGGTCACCAGGGGATCGTGGCCGAGATGGATCTCCAGGAGTACAGGTGAGACTGATATCTGAATGATGTGTCTTTGTCTACCTGTCTGCCTTCCCCCTTTTATTCCCCTTTCCCTCCTGTGGGGGTTCTGGGGCCTCATTGTGGGCTAAAAAAGAATACACACACTGCCTCCCCCCCCCCCAACAACCGTGTTATAAAACTCGAGTCATTATGAGTGTTTACATCAAAGTTGGAGTGCAAATGCCTGAGAGGTGAGGAACCAACAGTCTGCATGCTAGAACACTAAATCTGTCAAATGAAAGTGCATGCAAAATGTTCTGGAACAAGACTAAAGTCCAGAAGTGGCTGAATATCCAGAATTTGGAACCAGTAAACATAAGGAAGAAGGAGATTTCTCTTCTTTTTAATTGTATATACTGTTGTCTTTATCTCTCTCTCTCTCTCTCTCTCTCTCTCTCTCTCTCTCTCTCTCTCCATTCATTCTGTTTGTGTACATGTTGTTGCTTCTCTCTCTCTCTCTCTCTCTCTCTCTCTCTCTCTCTCTCTCTCTCTCTCTGTTTTACCCCTCTTGCATTCTTTGTGCTTCTTTTAGCTATCACACACCCCCTTCTATCTCTGTCTCTCTTTCTCTCTCTCTTTTTCTCTCTCTTTCTCTCTCTCTCTCTCTCTCTCTGTGTCTCTTTTATACTGTCTGTGTACTTGTTGTTGCTTCTCTCTCTCTCTCTCTCTCTCTCTCTCTCTCTCTCTCTCTCTCTCTCTCTCTCTGTTTTACCCCACTTGCTTTCTTTGTACTTCTGTTAGCCGTCACACACCCCCTTCTGTTTCTCTCTCTGTCTCCTTTCGTTCTGTCTGTGTACCTGTTGTTGCTTCTCTCTCTCTCTCTCCCTGTGTGTCTTCTTTGGTTCTGTCTGTGTACCTGTTGTTACTTCTCTCTCTCTCTCTTTTTCTCTCTCTCTCTCTCTCTCTCTCTTTTTTACCCCTCTTGCTTTCTTTGTGCTTCTGTTAGCCGTCACACACCCCCTTCTGTTTCTCTCTCTGTCTCCTTTCGTTCTGTCTGTGTACCTGTTGTTGCTTCTCTCTCTCTCTCTCCCTGTGTGTCTTCTTTGGTTCTGTCTGTGTACCTGTTGTTACTTCTCTCTCTCTCTCTTTTTCTCTCTCTCTCTCTCTCTCTCTCTTTTTTACCCCTTTTGCTTTCTTTGTGCTTCTGTTAGCTGTCACACCCCTTTCTCTCTCTCTCTCTCTCTCTCTCTCTCTCTCTCTCTTTCTCTCTCTCTCTCTCTCTGTTTTACCCCTCTTGCTTTCTTTGTGCTTGTGTTAGCTGTCACACACCCCCTTCTATCTCTCTCTCTTGCTCTTATTTTCTCATTCTTTATCTATGTACCTATTTTAGCTTTCTCTGTCTCTTTATCTGTCTCATTTAGTTCTCTGTCTGTATCCCTTTTGTTCTCTCTGTTATTCTATTCCTACCTCTCCATTTCTCACTTGCTTTGTCTCTTAGTTTCCTCTCTCTCTCTGACACTATCATTCAGATGCTTTTGGGCTCTCCCCCACTCTCCTTTCCTCACTCCCACTCTCTCTTTCTACCAGTTTACCTCACTATTACTGTCTCTCTATGTATTCTCTTTCTTATTTCAGTTCACAATTATCCAGAGAGTTATTTTGTTACTTTATTATGCAAAATTACTGTCAGTTCTATATAATTTCTTTAGGTTTGTTTTTTATCTAAGACATGCCAGATTGTACATAAATTTGTAAATATTGCTTGCAAAACTACCTAGGATATAAACATTATTATCTTATAATTGTACATATTGTATGCTTATTTTTAAAAAGAAAAAAATGTGAACCCTATTTGTCTGATATTGCCAGGGCCCCCGTGGTGAGGATGGCGCCCCTGGAATCTCTGGCCCCTCCGGACCATCCGGACCCCCTGGCAACCCTGGATTTCCTGGAGCTCAAGGTCAAAAGGTAATATTTTCACTTTTTTTCTTTTGCCATCAAAAATTGGATCACTGCTTAAGACATGCATGTGAAATTAAAGGCCTGAAAAAATTGATGAACATGAAAGTACGTTACTTCAAGAAAGGTACAGAAATGAGACAAATGTCTGTACAGCCACTGGTATCAACAGTTGCAAGACAAAGAAGATGGGGTTATTTTGTGATAAGCATGTAAAAGTGGTATGGCCAACTTTAAGCACTGAGATATGTGTTTGACAATCTTTACACCCTTAACAACAATACTGACAGGTTAAAAGATAATGGCAGGGTTACTGTAATTCTTAATCACACTTTTGAGATTTTAATTTGAAGTCTCCTCAAATAATAAGGACCCCAATGATGTTGCAATGATTGCTGATATAAATAGGATGATATTGTGGTTGCAGTATAGCTAGGACCAATGTTATGGTTGCAATAATTGCTGATATAAGTGGGATTCATTGTGGACACAATGATTTCTAATATACTTAGGACCCCATTATTGTTGCAGTGAAGGCTAATATAACTAGGTTTTCTCTGTGGTTGCAATGATTCCTCATGTAAACACTACACTTGTTTTTGTTTCCTAGGGTGATGCAGGATCTTATGGTGCTCCTGGTGACACAGGACCCCCAGGTCCGGCTGGAGCAGATGGACCCCCAGGTACCCCAGGAAATGTTGGATCACCTGGCCTTAGAGGTCTGGATGGAACCCCTGGGTCAAAGGGTCAACAGGTAAATTTTAAAAAATATTCATTTAATTTTGTCATCTAGCATCTTCACATGCCATATATATATTTATATATAAGCATGAGTTATGTTTGAGTTTCATCTCATACTTTCAGCAGTTTGGGATCTACATTCCATACATATAAGCATGAGTGATGATTGTGTTTCATCTCATACTTTCAGCAGTTTGGGATCTACATTCCATACATATAAGCATGAGTGATGATTGTGTTTCATCTCATACTTTCATCAATTTGGGATCTACATTCCATACATATAAGCATGACTGATGTTTGAGTTTCATCTCATACTTTCAGCAGTTTGGGATCTGGCCATGGCAATTGGGGAGTCGCTGGGGCAGAGCAGCTAAACATGCTCCGCGGATCGGAAGGTCGTGGGTTCGCTCCCTGGCGGAGCCAGACTTTTCTTCAAAAATGACCTTGGCTCCCAGGTCGACCCAGCCTTCAGTGGTACCGGGTGCAGTCCTGGGAATTAGAGGTGGCCGGAGTGATGCTGACCACATCGCCCATCTTGTGCCGTTAGTCTAAAAATATAAGTCTACCCCTATATGCCCTATACGCCTAAAGGCGTCGAAAAGGGTCCTTTACTTACCTTCACTTTTACATAGCAATTGAGTTAACCGTATGTGTCGATTCCTTCCCACCAAAAATATGACTGACACATTCCGTTTCTGGGGACAGCTTTAAACGAGTTTGCTCTCTAGACAGTTGCAGTCCCCTGGTGATGAGATTCTGTCTCCCCGAGTGGGCTGCCGAAATCAAAACATTGCAAAAGCAGCGGGGTCGAGGCTGCCAAAACAATCAGGCATTATTCCACCCCGATATAGCACAACCACAATACACACTGCTCCCACGAAAAACACATAATATCCTGTAATGGAAAAAAAATAGCAGTCCGTGATTAGGAATCAGAACAGAGAGAATTGACAGCCGCTGCTATCCAACATTTTGAAAGCAGAAGTCTATTTGGGATCTAATCTGTATTCTTGTCTCAGTTATGTCCTGGTATTTATCTCTTTGTCTTTCTCTAGCTCTTTTCCCATCTAATGTGTCAGTGAACACGAAATATTCAATCTGGTGTCTGACATTAAAATTCTTATCTGTCTACAATGTTTACAGAGCAATATTGGCTAAGTTCATTGTCTTTAGTAAATGTCTTGATCATCTACAATGTCTTTAAAACAAATCTTGACCATCTACAATGTCTTTACAAATCTTGACCATATATAATGTCTTTACAAATCTTGACCATATGTAATGTCTTTACAAATCTTGACCATATATAATGTCTTTACAAATCTCGACCATATATAATGTCTTTACAAATCTTGACCATCTACGTCTATGAAAATTTTTTTTACTGCCTAAAATGTCTATACAGATCTTGACCGTCTACAATGTCTATACAAATCTTGACTATCTACAATGTCTAAACAAATCTTGACCATCTACAGTGTCTAAACAAATCATGACCATCTACAATGTTTATACAAATCATGACCATCTACAATGTCTATAACAAATCTTGGCCATCTACAATGTCTATAACCAATCTTGGCCATCTACAATGTCTAAACAAATCTTGGCCATCTACAATGTCTAAACAAATCTTGACCATCTACAATGTCTATAACAAATCTTGACCATCTACAATGTCTATAACAAATCTTGGCCATCTACAATGTCTATAACAAATCTTGGCCATCTACAATGTCTAAACAAATCTTGGCCATCTACAATGTCTAAACAAATCTTGACCATCTACAATGTCTAAACAAATCTTGGCCATCTACAATGTCTATAACAAATCTTGGCCATCTACAATGTCTAAACAAATCTTGGCCATCTACAATGTCTATAACAAATCTTGACCATCTACAATGTCTAAACAAATCTTGACCATCTACAATGTTTAAACAAATCTTGACTATCTACAGTGTCTAAACAAATCTTGACCATCTACAATGTCTATAACAAATCTTGGCCATCTACAATGTCTAAACAAATCTTGACCATCTACAATGTCTATAACAAATCTTGGCCATCTACAATGTCTATAACAAATCTTGGCCATCTACAATGTCTAAACAGATCTTGGCCATCTACAATGTCTATAACAAATCTTGGCCATCTACAATGTCTAAACAAATCTTGGCCATCTACAATGTCTAAACAAATCTTGACCATCTACAATGTCTAAACAAATCTTGGCCATCTACAATGTCTATAACAAATCTTGGCCATCTACAATGTCTAAACAAATCTTGGCCATCTACAATGTCTATAACAAATCTTGACCATCTACAATCTTCTTCTTCTTCGCGTTCACCAGCTGTATACTCTGGCGGAAAGTTCTAGTTGCTCGTCCAGTACTGAACTGCAGTCCTGCTCCAGAACCTGAGTGTTGTGTGTGCATCAGTTTTACAGATCTCATTCTTTTGAATACAGACTGTTGGTTCCTTGCCTCTCCGGCAGATGCACTCCAACCTCAAAGGAAGCTCCCCAATTAGTTGACTCGTACGATATGCTTTTGGGGAGGCAGTGGGTCCATTCTTGTTTTCCCCACAATGGGGCCCCGGAACCCACACGGGGGACCATCTACAATGAATGTCTAAACAAATCTTGACCATCTACAATGTTTATACAAATCATGACCATCTACAAAGTCTATTAAATCTTGACCATCTACAATGTCTAAACATATCTTGACCATCTACAGTGTCTAATAAATCTTAATGATCTGCAATGTCCATACAAATCTTGACTATCTGCAATGTCTTTAAAACAATCTTGACCATCTGCAATGTCTAAAAAAAAGTCTTAACTGTCTACATGGTAGATTTTTTAAAATCTGGATTATGTACAATGTCCATAGAAGATATTTAGATTGCCTTGTACAGACTATAAAACGAGTTTTTTTTTTAAAAGTACCTGGCACAAATATCCAGTTTATAAAATGAGTTGTGTTGTATAAATATCCACTTTTTACAATAAGTTGTCTTGTATAAATATACAGTTTGTAAAGTGAGTATAATCTGAGATTTTATCTATTTGTAGGGTCCAGTTGGAGCTGCCGGTCAGCCAGGTTTTTCTGGACCCCAAGGCCCACCTGGTACTCCTGGAGAAGGAGGTCTTCCTGGTGCCAAAGGAGATGCTGTAAGTGAGCATGTAGAGAGAAAACAAGAGAGAGGGGGGAAGAGACAAAGAGAAATAATGAGAGAGAGAGAGAGAAATAGAAAGAGAGAGATATAGAGCAAGAAATATATATAGAAAAAGAGAAATATAGATAAATATAGAGAAATTTAGAAAGAGGGAGGACTAAAGAGAGCAATATATTTATATAAAGAGAGAGAGAAGGAGAGAGAGAGAGAGAAAAAAGAGCGATAAATGGATAGAGAGAAAGAGGAAGAGAGAGAAAGAGTGAGAAATGGAGAGAGAGAAATAGAGATAGCGAGGGAGAGAGAGGATTTAAGAGAGGGAGAAAGAAATAAAGAGAGAAAGAAAGATAGTAAGAGAGAGAACTAAGAGAGAGAAAGAGAGAACTGAGAGAGATGTGTGTACGATGTCAATGTGAGGATATCCACATTTCTAGCATGTAAGATAATAAGGCTGTATTCTTAGATATTGTGTGCACAGATTTTAGGATGTGGTTAATAAAAATGGTTTGGCCACCTGATGAAAATACCCAAGTACCAACTACAGGAAAAACTAAATTGAAAAAATATAACAAACACAGAGTTTCTTCTTACTCTTCTGCCACGTGGCGTTATAAGCCATGTCTATTCACAGCCCTCTGTCTTGTGAACTTTCAATCAATTCTGATCAGATGATCCTCCACGCCATGATATCATATTATAAAGAACTTTCTCTCTTGGTCCTGCCTCTGCCTCTCATCCCCTCCAGTTTTCCCACTGACAGAATGTACTCCAGTTCTCATGACATGACCAAAAGATGCAGAATGTCTTCCTCAAGTGCCAGTACTCTATAAACAATAAAACTGGATGCTAGCATCTTATATGCAACAAGGACTTCAAAAAGCATGGAGAGATCAGTTACTTTGTTTTTCTTCTTCTTCTGCATTCATTTGAAGATGTAACTGCATTGTGCCTGTTTACAGAATGGCCGACACATCTGACTCGTGCAGGCATTTGTTGACCTGATTAGCCTTCACATTTTACTTTATTCTGTAACCCTCTCATATTTTTCTTGTAGGGACGAAATGGATTGGCTGGGGCCCCAGGTGATGCAGGCCCCCGAGGTAATACTGGGCCCCCTGGAGAGAGAGGTTTACCTGGCCTACCAGGACAAGAAGGAAAGAGAGTGAGTGATAAAATTGTTTCTTCATGCTGTTTGTTAATGTTGAGAAAATGAACACTTGTGAATTGCAGACATCATGTAAAGAAAAAGAAAAACAGCTGTGACAGAAGTTAAATTTAGTTGCATATCCTATTCACAACATTGCAGTACATTACAGCACATTGCAGTACATTACAGCCCATTGCAGTACATTACAGCACATTGCAGTACATTGCAGCAAATTACAGCACATTACAGCACACTGCAGTACATTGCAGCACATTGCAGCTTATTGCAGCACATTGCAGTACATTACAGCACAATGCAGTACATTACAGCACACTGCAGTACATTACAGCACTTGCAGTACATTACAGCACATTGCAGTACATTACAGCACATTGCAGTACATTACAGCACATTGCAGTACATTGCAACACATTGCAGTACATTGCAGTACATTGCAGCACATTGCAATACATCACAGCACATTGCAGTACATTACAGCACATTGCAGTACATTGCAACACATTGCAGTACATTACAGCACATTGCAGTACATTACAGCACATTGCAGTACATTACAGCACATTGCAGTACATTACAGGATATTGCAGTACATTGCAACACATTGCAGTACATTACAGCACATTGCAGTACATTGCAACACATTGCAGTACATTGCAACACATTGCAGTACATTACAGCACATTGCAATACATTACAGCACATTGCAGTACATTACAGCACATTGCAGTACATTGCAACACATTGCAGTACATTGCAGCACATTGCAATACATTACAGCACATTGCAGTACATTACAGCACATTGCAGTACATTACAGCACATTGCAGTACATTACAGCACATTGCAGTACATTGCAGCACATTGCAGTACATTACAGCACATTGCAGTACATTACAGCACATTGCAGTACATTACATCACATTGCAGTACATAGCAACACATTGCAGTACATTACATCACATTGCAGTACATTGCAACACATTGCAGTACATTGCAACACATTGCAGTACGTTACAGCACATTGCAGTACATTACAGCACATTGCAGTACATTACAGCACATTGCAGTACATTACAGCACACTGCAGTACATTACAGCACATTGCAGTACATTACAGCATGTTGCAGAAGCCTGGCATTTCTTGCTGTTTGTGGTTTTACTAGAAGTTTTACAAAAAAGTGATCTGCTGCTAAATCTCTGCAGCTAGAATCACAATGGGTATGTCAGAATTATAAATCACGTTTGAGGTATGTCAGAATTATAAATCACGTTTGCAACACCTCATCTAGGGATGCCTATGATGACAGAAGAGAAGCTGGAGTTAAAGGAGAGTTAGAAAATCCTAGCACGTTTTAACAGCATGGGTAAAAATAATAATTTGTAGAGAGATAGACACATTAAACATGAGAACTGTCAAATACTGCTTATTCAGTATTTCCGCAAATGGCACAGAAACCTAGACATGGAACAAGCAATCAGAAAATCCAACCGAAGCGTGAAGACATGAATATACACAAGAAAAGGCTCTATTTCATAGAAACGAAAACGATAAAATACAGAGGTTCTGGTGATGTAGACAATAAAGAGAGAGGTGCTGAAGAAAATAAACAAGAATTTGTTAAGAAATGAACAGTCAGACTACCTGGCTCTGCATCAATAAGTGGCATGACGAGCTAGGTGCGGTCAAGGCCCTGTGAGAGTAAGTAAAAAATGCAGAGGCACAAATAGATCATTATGGTCTGGAGAGAATTGTACAGCGGGGAGTGACCTGGGGATCTGGTCGACACGCTACACTCAGAGAAAAAGCAGGATAGACAGATAACCAAAAATCCTACTGTCAGAATTGGAGCACTTAGCTGGCTGCTGAAGATGAGGACGAGCGCTTATGGGAATGTTCCATGTGCTATGATATCAGCTCTTGTCTCCCACAGTAAAGAGACAACTAAAATATTTCAGCAACTAAACATTTTATAATAGTTCTTCATATTTTCTATTACAATATTTACATGTTATATTACGAATAACACATACATTAATAATTAAATTTGATAGTGCTATTCCCATTTTATTTATTATTTACATTTGGTATTACTTATTACATTTTTTATTACTTTTTACATTAAATTTTATATTTCTATTTCTATTTTATTTTATTATTTACATGTTTTATTAAAATTACATTTTATTTTAAGATTTAAACTTTATGTAACTATTTACATATCATATTATTATTTACATTTCACATTACTGTTTACATTTTATGTTACTTAAAAAAAATTTTTACATTTTATACCACTTTTTATTATATTACTATTTACATTTTATTATTTTATTTTTAAATTTTATTATAAAACTATTTACATTTTAAATAATTATTTACATTTTATAAATAATTTTGTTACAGGGAGCTATCGGAACACCTGGTCCAGCAGGCCCGCAAGGACCACAGGGTGAACTGGTGAGTGAAGACATTGATTCTCTTGACCAGGCCGTGTGTTGCAAGGCAGAAGTTACAGGAAATATGTGATCTTTGGCAGGAAGCCGTATACCCTATGATTGGATCTTTATAATCTATAAATAGTTCCCTTACACAATGTCAGTCTTGTCACTACTCTCTAGTTTCCCAGTCTAATGGGCTTTCTTAGCCAACACATCTTCAGTTTCTTGTGTTCAACTTTGTGGAGGTCCGCTTCTGCCTTGTTTTCCAGAAACTGGACCTTCCACCAACATTCTCTCCAAACCACCTTGACATTTAACACGGCCATAATACCTCTAGCTAATGAAAGCAGAACATTATATACAACAATGAGAAGGAGACAAGCAAAGTTCTTTGGTCATGTAATGAGAAATGAGGCACTGGAAAATATCATGATGACTAGAAAGATCACTGGTAGAAGAGGCAGAGGCAGACCAAGAGAAATGAAGGTGGATGACCTTAGACAGTGGCATGGAGGAATATCATCAGTGGAACTGATCCAGAACACCAAAGACCGAGATTTGTGGAGATGTATGAACGCCTACGCCAGCAGGCAAGGCACTTGATGATGATGAAAATACCTCAGCTTTTGGGGCAGTATGCTGTTTATGAGCCAGTTCTCTTCAATGTTGAAATCATGAAGGGTATCAATGTTTTCTTTTTCTTGGTCCATGGCCTTCTAAGACTTTTTCTGTAACATTTCAGTTCAAGAGCTTGGATCATCATCATCAAGTGCCTTGCTGACTGGTGTGGGCGATCATGCCTCTCCGCAATCCGTGATCTTCAGCTGCATGTATCACCCCTCCATTTTATAACAAAAAGTTGCCAAGAAACTTCTCACACTGTCTTCCTGTGTCTCTCTTTCCATAAAACTTTCCAGTGGTTGCAGCATGTTCGAGTTTCTTTCATCTCATAACATGACCAAAAAAATGATTGCTGTCTCTTATTGATGTTTGTGATAAGTTGTCTTGTGTTCCTTGCCTGTTTTCAAAACATCTAGGTTGCTCCCTTTTTTGGTAGTCCAATGAGTTCTAAGGATTCTTCTGTAAAACCGCATCTCCGAGGCTGCAAGATACTTTTTTGCTTGTCCATGATTCACAGCTATATGTTAAAACTGGCTCTATACAAAATACGAGAATTCTTTTTCTAACCTCCGGTGATACAGATAAAATATTCTTCATTTTATAACATGCAGTTTTGGATCAATTTCATAGGGTTGAGCTTTATAATGCCTTTAACTTATGTTATATAAATATATGCATGAATGGATCTTTCAGTTGTGGTTTGCCAGGTAACCCCTTTACTGTTTTAATATGTTGTAATTCTCCTAAACTCTTAGGGAGTTCCTGGACTGAACGGCCTACCTGGCAGCATTGGTTCACCTGGAGCACCAGGAAAAGATGGTGAGCGTGGCCAGCCTGGAGAACGAGGATCTCCTGGATCTAATGTAAGTTAGCTCATGTTTTCTTCCTGACCTTTTTAAACTTTTGTTGTTGTCTGTCTTTCCCTTTTTTTTAACTATCAACTTTTTTCTAGCTTTTATTCTTCTTCTTTCCTTCTTTTCTGTTTGTTTTTTAAATTTTTTTTTAAAAATTTTTCTTTCTTTCTGTGTACATAACAGTTAATAACTTTTTTATTGATAGTAGTTGATACTTGCGACAGGTGGAGTCGAGTATTTTGTATTGTATTTTGGCACCCACAGTTTTATTAGTCATTGAAGGTAAAAAAATTTTAAAAGATAATAAGTTAAAATAGTTTGTCCAAAAAGCTGTATTATAAAGTATACATATAATATAATGATAAAAATGAGACTGGGTTATGAATTCCAGCATTAGACAGAAAATTGGAATAAGACCATGTCTTGATTATATTGACAGACAGATAATGAAATAGTTTGGCTATCTAGTGAGAATGCAGACTTGCCAAACTGCATGTGACACACTTTACAGCAGAACATCTAGGAGGAAGGCGAGAGGAAGAATAAGAAAGAGATGCATAAATAGTGTAGCCAAAACTGCAAAAAAGATGAACAAATCCATCACTCAAGCCACCTGTGAAGCACAAGACAAATACAGAAAACCACGACACTGGTATCAGTAAGATGACAAAGGAAGAAGAAGAAGAAGATGATAAAAATGTCATTGTGAAACTCGTGTCTAATAAACAATATGGTTATTTTTTTTTTTTTTTTCAACTTTTTAGTACATTGGTTATTATTGTATGCAAGTATCTGTAAAAAAAAATGTTTTTTCTCTGTGTGTTTTTTTTTTTAATTAAAAAAATTGATCTAATTACTTATTACTTTTTTAATTGTCATGTTTTTTTGCTTATTTAACCTACTCACGTGTACAGCCTCTAATGTCCTCTAACCTTTAATCTTGACCTCTGCAGGGAGCTGTGGGTCCACCTGGTCCTGCAGGCAACACAGGGCAAAGGGTAAGCTGTGTGTGTGTGTGTGTGTGTGTGTGTGTGTTTATTATATAAATGGGTGTCATGTAAGTGTGGTTGTGTGTGCGTGAGTGTGTGTGTGTGTTTATTATATAAATGGGTGTCGTGTTAGTGTGGGTGTGTGTGTATGTGTGTGTATGTGTATTTGTGTGTGTACATGGGTGCATATGTGTGTGTGTGTTTATTATTATAAATGGGTGTTGTGTTAGTGTGGTTGTGTGTGTGTGTTTATAATATAAATGGGTGTCATGTTAGTGTGGGTGTGTGTGTGTGTGTATGTGTGTGCATGTGTATGTGTATAAGTGCATGTGTGTTTATTATTACAAATTGGCTTGGTGTTAGTGTGCGTATGTTTGAGTGTCTATAATCATGACTGTGAACCCTGTGGTGTCTGATCTATTTTTTTTTTCAATTATCTTTGCTTATTCAGAGAAAGAACGGACAAATATGCTGTTCACTCTAATATTGTGCTGTTAATGCCACATCAGTACAAGAAAAACATAAAAAACAAAATAGAAATGTGGCAGGAACACACACAAAAAGAAGTGACAGAGTCACCATTGAAGAACTAAGAACAGTGGTAGGCATATTGGGTTATCCTCCGAATAATGGTCCTAAATTATCTACGCAGAAAATAATCCCTAACAGGGCCTCAGTCATGTGTCAGTTGCATTCTTCCGGGGACTATACCAGTGTGGCCGAATTGCGAACTTCCGGCGCCTTCCGCCACCGCCGAGAGTACTCCCTACGCCGCTCACGCGGCATGGATTGGGGCTAAACTAGATGGCTAGGACTCACAAGCAAATAAAACGACGGCAGCTGCAGGAAATGAGTCCCAGCCATCTAGTTTAGCCCCAATCCACACTGCGTGAGCGGCATGGGAAGTACTCTCGGTGGTGGCGGAGGTTGCCAAAAGTTTGCAATTCGGCGGCGGCGGAAGTCGCTGGAAGCTTGCATATCAAGACAATGGAACTGCGCAATTGACACGTGACTGAGGCCCTGTTAGGGATAATGAAGTAAAAGAGACAATGTCTTTTTTTTAAAACTAATTTATCTAAAGACCAATGCAGTGACAAATATTTTCTCATATAGGAATAAGCAGAAGGCATGGTACCAGGAAGGAGGGGCAGGGGCCAACCAACACGAAGATGGGCACAGGATATAAGTGACTCCTTGAGTATGAAAGTGCATGAGGTGGGAGAGCTGGCGAGAGACAGTGTTTTTTTCAGGCAGATTGTGATGAGAGCGACGTTCTGCAAAGGACCTGCTACATGTTGATGATAATAAGTTACTAATGGTAGATTGTATTCAACTGTTGGTTAAAGGAACCTACATGTTTTTAATATATAATGTCAACTAACTATTTGCTGATTGTGTTTTAAGGATCAGTCCTTTTATTTACATTTTAAATACATTTACAGTAGTAAATTGTAATAACCATGATAAAATCAATGATCATCATAAAGTGTGGTTTCCACAATTAAATCAATGATCATCATAAAGTGTGATTTACACAATTAAATCAATGATCATCATAAAGTGTGATTTCCACAATTAAATCAATGATCATCATAAAGTGTGGTTTCCACAATTAAATCAATGATCATCATAAAGTGTGATTCCCACAATTAAATCAATAATCAATATAATGAGTCACTTTTCCTGCTACCTCTAAGCAGTATATGAATTAAACCAGTAACGATCAGTTTAAACACGAATCACATTTACAATGGTAAGTAATTTACTAGAGCAAGAATTTGTTAGTTGTAAGTGTTATATAGTTTAGCTGTGCGGCTTAGATGTTGACTGAATACATTTTTATAAACCTTAACTACCCTTGTATGGTTTAACGGCCCTTTTGTGTGTGAGTGGTGGGGGGAAGGGAGGGATAAGAGAAGGGGTCCACTGCCTTCCCCCCCCCCCCAAAAGTGACTAATTAGGGGCTAGCTGAACTTGAATATGATTGGCCAAAAGGCACAGATATCAAAGTTTAGCTCTTTCAAGGGCAAGTGCAGGAGAAAAAGAAGAACAGTCCTCAACATACCAGTGTTTGACTTCCTTGGTGGATGATTCAGAAAGAGGCCATTTCCATTGGCTTTCAAATAGTGGTGAAGAGATCTGAGCAGGGATTTTTTCTAGAAAAGAAAAAGGTGCCGGTACTCACCACAAATATTATTTTGAAAAGCAGTTATCGGTACTCGCTGTAAGTGCATTTACAGAAGCACTGAAAATAAATTATTCCTATTTCTTGTTCTCTCAGGGTCAACCAGGTAACCCAGGCACTGATGGTCCACCTGGAGAGAGAGGCTTGCCTGTAAGTTACTTCTTACTTTCTGTGATTGTAAAGTGGTCAAAAGTAATGTGAAAAGTCTTTAAATATTATAGGCTTGCCTGTAAGTTACTTCTTACTTTCTGTGATTGTAAAGTGGTCAAAAGTAATGTGAAAAGTCTTTAAATATTATAGGCTTGCCTGTAAGTTACTTCTTACTTTCTGTGATTGTAAAGTGGTCAAAAGTAATGTGAAAAGTCTTTAAATATTATAGGCTTGCCTGTAAGTTACTTCTTACTTTCTGTGATTGTAAAGTGGTCAAAGGTAATTGAAAAGTCCTTAAATACTATAGGCTTGCCTGTAAGTTACTTCTCACTTTCTGTGATTGTAAAGTGGTCAAAAGTAATTGAAAAGTCTTTAAATATTATAGGCTTGCCTGTAACTTACTTCTCACTTCCTGTGATTGTAATGTAGTCAGAAATAACTGAAAAGTCCTTAAATATTATAGGCTTGCCTTTAAGTTACTTCTTACTTTCTGTGTGTGCAGAGCAGTCAAAAGTAATTTAAAAATCTTTATACAGACTTGCCTCGTTACTTTTACTTCTTTGTGTTTTAAGTAGTCAGAAGTAATTGACAAGTCCTTAAAAAATACTGGGTGATTAGGATTTAATTTTAAAAAACAGAAATACTGAGTCTTTTTTTTTCTGAAACATTTTTATTTTTATTTTTTCCCCTCTATTTAAATTGAACTAATTCAGTACAAAGCAATGCAACATATATTTATTGGTTTCTCCATACATTTCTTCACCCACATGCTACAGGACCTGATGATCATTGCTGGCACTTTTCCATCTTTCTAGACAGTATGTACTGTTATATTGTGTTATGGGGTTCAGAGTCTATGTCCTTTCCATAGCACAAAGCCCAGCCGGTATTTTAGAGACAATGCATTACCCATGCATCATGATCCCTGTCTCAGCCTGTCTTGTTTATCTACCCTAAAGGAAAGGTACCATCAGTAGGTTTGGAACAAGGCACTCTGCAAAAGCTTCAGTTCAGATGAGCCGTGCACAGACTGCCCACCTGAATGAGCTCTTTTGTTCCATATTATGATATAAAACTCTCTTGTGTTCCATATTATGATATAAAACTCTCTTGTATTCCATATAATGATATAAAACTCTCTTGTATTCCATATAATGATATAAAACTCTCTTGTGTTCAATATAATGATATAAAACTCTTTTGTGTTCCATATTATGATATAAAACTCTCTTATGTTTCATATTATGATATAAAACTCTCTTGTGTTCCATATTATGATATAAAACTCTCTTGTATTCCATATTATGATATAAAACTCTCTTGTGTTCCATATTATGATATAAAACTTTCTTGTGTTCCATATTATGATATAAAGCTCTCTATTGTGTTCGATATTCTGATATAAAACTCTCCTGTATTCCATATAATGATATAAAACTCTCTTGTGTTCCATATCTATATATATAAAAATCAATGTTTGTGTGTTTGTTTGGTCTCTATAGACTCGGAAACTACTGAACCGATTTAGCTGAAATTTTCAGGATATGTTTGTTGTGATACCGGATTTTGAACCCTCGTGGTTTGAAATTCAACCTGTCACTGTTAGAGATAGGTGACCACAATTAATGCCAAAATATACGCAACTAATATTTATAACTTTAGTGATTTCTAATTATAGCCACGTTAGTAATTGCGCATGCGCCGTATTTACCATTCGCCGGCGAGTTACGTGCAGCCAACGCCTTCTCTAATACTAATACATAGAGTAGGTTGTGGTACGGCAAACAAGACTATCTCTATATTTGCCACAATAACCATATTAAACACGCGATTTCTATTTTTCTGTTTTTTTTTCAAACACAAACAACCTCCGATGGGGGGGGGGGGGGGGGGGGGGGGGGGGGGGGGGGGGGGGGGGGGGGGGGGGGGGGGGGGGGGGGGGGGGGGGGGGGGGGGGGCAATCAAGGACTATCTCGACGTCGGCGCAGACATTGACTGCGTCATTAACTTCATTAGACAGGTGCAATTTCCATTGTCTTTCTTTTCTAAAAACCTTTGATGAGGGAGAGGGTACTAGGTGGATTTAGTTGTGGGGGGGGGGGGTGGGGAGGAGCAAAGACTATCTCAAATTACGCCACAGCAACACGTGGCCGGGTACAGCTAGTTATAATATAAAACTCTCTTATGTTTCATATTATGGTATAAAACTCTCTTGTGTTCCATATTATGATATAAAACTCTCTTGTGTTCCATATAATGATATAAAACTCTCTTGTGTTCCATATTATGGTATAAAACTCTCTTGTGTTCCATATTATGGTATAAAACTCTCTTGTGTTCCATATTATGATATAAAACTCTCTTGTGTTCCATATTATGATATAAAACTCTCTTGTGTTCCATATTATGATATAAAACTCTCTTGTGTTTCATATTATGATATAAAACTCTTTTGTGTTCCATATTATGGTATAAAACTCTTTTGTGTTCTATATAATGATATAAAACTCTCTTGTGTTCAATATAATGATATAAAACTCTCTTGTGTTCCATACTATTGTTAGAGATTCTCTGGCTGGGACAGGAGGTTAAGTTGGAACAGATAAGTAATACTGTAGAAATTAGTATAGTTTTACTTGTCTACCTCTTTAAGGGTAATGATGGTGCTAATGGAAATCCTGGAGAGCAGGGGCCTCAAGGACAGCAAGGGCCCCCAGGTCTTACTGGACCTCCAGGGACTAGAGGTGAACCTGTAAGTACTGACCACATCATAAACTTTTGTTCAATCTTTTTGTTGACCACATCAAACTTGTGTTTAGTTTTTGCTGACCACACCATAAACATTTGTTTAGTTTTTATTGACCACATACAAGTTGTGTCCAGTTTTTGTTGGGTCCATCCATTTACTAATCAGTGCCACTTCTGAGGCATCAACATAGGTCTATCAACATGCACACACGTACATACACATGCACACACACACAAGCAGCTGATAATAGTGCTGTTTATAGCAACTTTGTGCTATCAATGCGAGACATGGAGAGTTCTAGAAAAACATTAAATGCAAATTCACGACATGTGTGATGAGATGAATAAGAAATACGGTGGGAAGAACAAGAAGAGACAGAGTCAACAAGAAAGAACTAAGAACAATGGTAGGTACAGTACCAGTAAATGATCTCACAGAACGTCAAAGAATCAAATGGTTTGGTCATCTGGTCGGAGAGGTCAAGAGGCTGACTAAGAAAAAGATGGGGGGGGGGGGGGAATAAAAGAGACATTACAGAATACCAGTATGACATTAACACAAGCTACATTATCAGTTGTCGGGGTGTTGAGTTTGATCCGAGCTGCGGACAATTTTTCTTGCACTGGTTTTAACAGTAGTACCGAGAGCTGACCGTTCAGGAGGCAATGGCAAACTACTGAATGTAAAATTTGCCTAGAAAAACCACAACAGCCAAAAAAAGGCTGGGGTTGGTTCTGCAATGTCCTGTAAAGGATATGCAACTAATTTTTAACACTAACAGTGAACAGGAAACTACATCTAACTGTTCTCTGAAAGAAGCAAATAGAAGAGGTTTCAGTGTTTTTTTTTTTTTTTTGCCTGCTGGTGCAGCATTCTAACCACACTTTTCATTCTTTCACTCACGATTGGGTTCTTGTAGTGTAACAAAGGAAATGATGCTTGTATGGGAATGTCTTGTGGATCTGTTGATTCTTGAACCCAAATTTACCCAGGATAACAGTGAGACAAAACCTTTGTACATAACAGTGTTGAATGGGAACTAGGCTGATATACTGAATGCTCTATGAGAAGTAAGATGTTTGCCAGAACTGTGTGATGACTGTGAATCTGCAACCATGGCCAGACTGCAAGAACAGAATGTTTAAAAAAGATGTGGCCAGACAAGAGCACGTGCCAGAAGTCAAAAAAGAATAGAAAGCCAACACAGACCTAGTGCCATCAGCTGCTACACACTGCAGGATATACTGAGGAGGGGATTCAAGCTCTTATTGGCTGAATGGTTTGATGTGCATTGAGAATAATCTGTCAACTGATTATAGTTGAATGGAAGTACAAGACAAGGCAGACAATGAAGAGCAGATCTATAAACACTTGGAATTACCAACTGGAAAAATAAGGCCAGGAGAATAATGGAGGCAGGTGATATCTGCAATAATAAACCTCAAGAGCTCGGAATGCTGAAAATGAAAAAGTTTTCTCACACAGAATAATTGAATTAGTAGGGGGTCTCCGTGACAAAGTGGTCAAGCCATTTGCCTCGCTTTCTGAAAGTCGTGGGTTTGTTTCCCAGCTGTGCAGTTCGGTTCATGAGGTGCAACATTCACAGAGATCCCTGAGGATCATCATTTGGAGCTGCAGGGGTCGTGCTCTTTGTGATGCTCTCGGCGGACAGCTTGTGGGAGAGCGTGTACAATGCGGAGGAGCAGATGGATCACCACAGTCTGGTGAGATTGATGCAGTTGGGGGTGATGAGAGGTTCTGGCAGAAGCTCAAGGCTCAGAGGAAAAGCAAGACAGACATTTAATCAGAAACCTACTGGCACCTTTAGTATCGGAACTCTTCGCTGGCTGCTGAAGATGGGGAAGGAGCGCTTATGTGTATGCCCAGAGTGCTGTGATGTCGGTTCTTGAATCAAATCAAATCAAATCAAATCGGCGGACAGCTAGCTGTTCTGTGGAGAGAGACTGATCCAAATGGGATAAAACCTGGTGCAATGAAGTAGAACCTCTCACCCGAAACTTTGCATAACTACATTATTAGTAGTAACAGAGTCATTAAGACAACAAGATCCTTTTCAGCCTGTTTGTATTATAACTGGGATATATAGAGTTTTTTACTATTTCAATAATGAATATTGATGCCTGTCAGTTATGTTTTTGGTTATTTAATATTCAACAGCTTATTTACTAATTGTCGGCTCTGTGGCCAAGTCGATGCAAACGCTTCGTAATGCCGGGTTCAATCCCAGCTAAGAGCTATCCGCCTTGTGTTGGTTTCGACAGTGGTATCAAGAAAGCCAACCGTCCAGAAAGTAATGGCAGACTACTGGACGTAAATTTGCCTAAAAAAACCACACAAAAGCCATGGGCTGGTGGGGTTGGTTCTGAAACATCCGGTAAAGGATACGCAACTAACCTATATACTAATTATGCAAGAATGAAGGAGTATAGATCAGGCTCAATATAACTAGAATTTTATGTGTGTGTGTGCACGCATGCACTCGCGTTGTTTCTCAACATGACTTCAAATTCCACCATCATCTTGCAGTATGGCCTTGGCGTTAGAATTTCATGAAGACTGTATCTTTTATCACCAGGGACCCCAAGGACGTGCTGGACCCGATGGAAGACCTGGCCCACCAGGACCAAGAGGAGAAAGAGGAACTTCTGGTGAATTAGGTCCACCAGGAGGTCCTGGCCCCTCAGTAAGTAATGGACTGTACAGTCTCCACTTTACTACCATGATTCCCTCAAAAAAAGAGCAGGTCTTGTGTTCATTTTTACTTAAAAAATGTACCAGGTTTTTTTTCGATGGGGGGGGGGGGGGGGGGGGGGGGGGAAGGTGGATGTCTTATTTTCAGATATAAAAATCTTCATTTATTCAAATACAGTCATGTCATTTTCTTCTGAAACACATTCATGACTCTCTGCATCCTGAATTCCGGCCTGAATTTCTTGTGAATTATGAACCATGTAGATTCTCTGTCAATTGCGCCCCAGTGGCATCTGTACTCTGGCTGGCCATTCAGCAAAAAGTCTCCTGTTGTAGCTGACAATCTTAATAAGACACTTTTTGGGGGTAGGGCTTATATTATAAGCATTCCGAAAAATAGTGCGAGGCTTCAACTTCACTGCAATTGGATTTCCCCTTATTTGCTTTGTTCCTGTGCCAGTGAAAATCAAAAGAAATGTCCCTCACTGAGCATTTGAAAAAATGGTGAACAAACAGTTAGCCCCGGAACAATATAGAAATATGCACACGCAGTAAATGCATATGCCAATTGCTAGAGGCGCCAAAGCCAACAGTCGCCACCAGAAATACAGTATGTGGTTTATGGAAGTAGTCAGGCATAACATATTTTGGGATGGGGGGTATCTATTTATTTTCGGGGGAACACAGTAAGCACAGGCATGAAGTGCACAATGCAGCACAGGCAAGCGCACAATGCAGCACAGGCATGAAGTGCACAATGCAGCACAGGCATGAAGTGCACAATGCAGCACAGGCATGAAGTGCACAATGCAGCACAGGCATGAAGTGCACAATGCAGCACAGGCATAAAGTGCACAATGAATGGACAAATGTTTGTAATTTCCTAGCTAGATGGATGTAAAGTCGGATGGATGGATGAATCTGTGTATGGATGCATTTAATTAAAACATCAGTGAAAGAATAAATACATGTGTGTATGTAATCAAACCATTGGTAATTGAATTAATAAATTGATGGAGAGTTAGTTGGATAGAGGAATCCATGCCTGCATGCATTTTAAAAGGATATATATGTATTAATGTTTAATTACTTATCTTCAAACTCTGAGATATTTAACTGTTTAAAAATTAATTATACTTATCTAGGGCCCTGCAGGCGAGAGTGGACCCCCTGGAATTACAGGTGAAAGAGGACTACAGGTAATTCTAGAAACAGTTTATCATTGATTAAATCAAACAAAATATTCACTTCACAAAATTAAATAGTTCATCATTCATGTGCAGAACATTAACATTCACTTCATTTCTTCACATTCACTGGCTGCAAATTCTGGTGAAAAGTCCTGGCTGTTCATCCTCCTCTGAACTTTAGTCCTGTTTCAGGATTTGATTTGTGCTTGCATATCTGTTTTACACCCTGACTTTTTGCACCCTGACTTTGTTGATCCTATCTATTTTAGCCAGGCCCTCAGTCAGCATCATCTTTATCATCATCATTACCTCATCATCATCATTATTATCATAATAATTATCACTATCATCAGAATTATCATTACCAATATTATAAGTATCATAATCACTATCATTATCAGCATCCTTATCATAATTTTATCATCATCATCGTTGTAATCAGCTTTGTTCATTTAACACATGTTTTTATAATGTCCCGAAAAAACTTTAAGGCACACATTGATGAGAGAGGCCAAAGATTTTGAACTGGATTCAATTCATGATAGAGACATAATTTCTCAGAATACAATGGAAGCATAAACTGCAAGCACTATGTTATTTTAACTTCAAAACCAGATGATGATGATATTTATTTTATGTACGATATTTTGTTTCTTTGTTCAGACTTGTCACTTTTGTAGAAACTGCAAGGTGTTTAGTCACATGATATTGCTTGATTTTCTTCTAGGGTCTCCCAGGTCCTCCGGGTCCCCGTGGCAATGATGGACGGCCTGGAGCTCCTGGCCAACCAGGCTTAATTGGTGAATCAGGAATATCTGGACCAGTTGTAAGTTACCCATTTTTTTCTCTGTGCTAGAGTGAAATTGTCTGTTCATGATACTCATTTTTTTTCACATTCACAGGCTGTAAAATCTGGCAGGAAGTTTTGCATTTAGTAAACTTCTGGACTTTGATCTTGTTCATGGATCTTGTGTTTTGCTTGCACATCTTTTTTTAAAAACAGATCCAGCTTTTTGTATGCAGACCTTTGGTTCCTTACCCCCAAGGCACATGCACTCAGATTTCAAAGAAGCCCTACAGCTATTCATGATGAAAATGTATTATTTAGTGAAAATGTACATTCATGATGAGATCTTCTCAGCAATATGTAGGTCTCATGGTATTATAAACATCATTCCTGTCCAGTACCTGGCCAGTCATGGTAACCGCCTTGTTTCTCACTATCATCAACTGAGCATGTTGAGGAAGGTGAAGACAGGTATGATCCATGCAGAGTGGCAGGCATCACTTCAAAGGTCCCAGTTAATTAGCATCCTTTGGATATTTTCTCCAGGTCATGCTGGTATGTTGAAAAAAATGAACAGGCAGATAGACTGGCTGGTTCTGCACCCCTTAGGAGTAAAATGATTTATGAGAAGCTGGATGTTTTGAGGCCCCTTTGGGAGCGAGTAAACAGTGCCGAGTCACAGATAGATTATTAAGGTCTGAGAAAAATGGCAATGGGCCGAGTTACAAGTGGATCTGGCCGACACTTGACCCTCAGGGGAAAGGTGAGATGGATATACAATCAGACAGTTACTGGTACTATCAGAATTTTAACTCTTCACTTTCTGCTGAAGATGAGGATAGAGCTCTTATGGGTGTGTCCCGAGTGCTGTAATCTTGATTCTTAATTCAACATTCAACCGCCTTGTATGCCAGATAATATGCACTCAACACTCAACATTTACTCAACATTTACTCAACATTTACTCAACATTTACTCAACATTTACTCAACTAATGGTGACTGCAAAACAGGTTTGAAGCCTCTGGCTCAAGACCCTCTTCCCTACATGGGCCTAACTATGGGTACATGCATTCAATAATGATATTTCAGAAAATATATAAAGTAAGTAGAAACCACAGGGCCATGTTTTCTAACTTCCGTTGTTTATTTTTATATCTAGGGACAACAAGGTTTCCCCGGAGAGCCAGGACCAGCAGGTCCACGTGGATCCCCAGGAGAAAGGGGACCTGGCGGACCTGTGGGAGATGTAGGACTTCCTGTGAGTAGGATGCTGAAAGATTGTTTACTTCTGTAGTGATGCTTTCTATTTTTGTTTGTGTGGGGGGAGGGGGAGATCCCTCTTACTTATATTCTCTAATTTTAAAATTAATAAAATGTACCTTATTTTTTTTTTTCATAACAATTGTTCCGTGATTTATGTGCTATTTTTGCATGTTTCCTACCTATTTACCAGTGTGATTAAAATCTGCAATATGGCTGTAAAATTAAACTTAAGTAATTTGGAGAAAACAAATAAATCATTTTTCAACATAATCACTTTTCTTTTCAAATCACTGTTTCCATCTATCAACAAGCTTATCTTCACTGTTGCTGGTCCTAAGCCCAGTTAAGAAAGGAGGAGGGTTGTTGGACATGAGGCCAACTCCCCCAGCCTGTAAACAATTATTTGCTACAGAAACTTGCAGGAAAGGATAACATCTAAAGACATGGAATGAGAGTTAAATGCATTCAAAAACACAAGTCTGAGGAAAATGAAGAAAATAAAATGGAATGAATTCAAAAGGAGGGAAGAAATATGGGCAACTTTTAGTATCAACAGTTATAGGACAGAGGAGATGGTGCTACATTGGACACATCCTGAGAATAAACCAGCAGAGAATCATCAAACAGGCATTAAAATGAGAAATAAAGGGATTAACGGATTAAGGAAGCAAGGACGCCAACAAGAAACCCTAAGGTAAATGGTGTTGAGAGAGGCCAAAGGTGCTGGACTGGACTCCATTCATGATATTGAACTGATTGCACAAGATAGAATGGGATGGAGAAATAGCCTGCGAAACTTATGTGACATGTAATGGCACAATAGGATAATGAATGAATTAACTAGATTTCCTAATTCCTTATGTTTTCAGATGGTAGTATAATATTGTGCTGCAAATAGGCATGAGCATAATGGCATGTGGGGGAGGGAAAAAGGGGGGGGGGGGGGGGGGTTGAAAATACACTCTGCTCCCTAGCAAGCATGTAATTAAAGGCAACTAATTAGGTACATTTCTTTTGAGGTCAGAATTCTTCTGCCTTAATCCAGAAGTGGACGAACAACCAGAACTGTTTGCCAGAGTCTACAACCAGTGAACAGTAAGAAGAGGAGCAGGAGGAGGAGGAGGAGGGGATCATAGATTATCTAAATGTTGAATATGAGTGCAGATCATTATTGTGTGACCAACTTATTATTTTTTTGACTTGCAGGGGCCTCCAGGACCAGCTGGACCACGAGGCGACAATGGTCCCGGAGGTGTCCAGGTAAGTGCAGGCTCCAGAAGCCAAAATTAATCACTGGCATCAGGGTGAATGTTTTGTGTGTGTGTGTGTTATTGTTTAATGATTGTAAAACTTAGTCATCATCTTTAGTGACATGTTCTTGCACAGCAGTGCTGGGTTTAGGCATAAGCTAATTAAGCTGTAGCTTAGGGCCTCACAATCTCTAAGGGCAATACAAAAATTACCGTTTTCTTTATTTTTCACAAATGCAATTTTCTTTTAATATTAAAAAAAAATTTAATCCTCAAAACTTTCCAATCTTATTAAAATTTTTTTGGGTAAATTAAGTCAGGCTTTTATTTATTGTAACTTGTTGAAGCCTATTTAAATTTGTCTAAATATAATAAAATAATTAGCTTGGCATACATTAACTTCTACCTTTTGTTAATACACAAATATATAAATTTTTTTAAAGTTTTATGAGATTCGCTAGTGTAATTTAAAATAGTAGGGCCTCAGGGCTATATATAGCTTAGGACTTCATCAAGTCTACATCCAACGCTGTGGTACAGGCATTGAAAATCATAACTTATCAATCCTCTTTCATCATCATCTCTCCTTGATCCCCAATCATCAGTTCTGTTACATCAATCCTCTTTCATTAATTATCTCTCTTTGATTCCTGGTCATCAGTTCTGTTACATCCATTCTCTTTCAGCAGTCGTTGATCCTCTATCATCTGTTTTGTTATATCAATCCTTGTTCATCAGTCATCTCTCGTTGATCCCCAGTCATCTGTTCTGTTGTATCAAGCTTCTTTTGGCAATCCTCTTTCATCAGTCCTGGCCACATTTGCCATGTATTTATTTATGTCTTGCACATTTATTTTGCCTTGTGGTTTCCAGATGAATAATTTTCTAGTTGTGCTGTTATCAGTTTTTAATTGGTATATGTCCTATCCAACATCAGTGTCTTCTTCTCACCCTCTGTTTGCTGAAATTTGTTTAGTTCTCTCCATAAGTTAGGCAATAATGATTCTATCATACAGCTTTTATCATCATCATCATCATGTGCCTTGCCAGCTGACACATCATGCATCTCCACGAATCTCGGTCTTTGCTGGATCAATTCCACTGATGATTTTCCTCCATACCACTGTCTTAAGCCATCCACCATCATTTCTCTTTCTTTGCATCTGCCTCTTCTACCAGTGATCTTTCCAGTCGTCATGATATTTCCCAGTGCTCTTTTTCTCATAACTTGACCGAAGAACTTTGTTTGTCTCCATCTCATTGTTGTATATAATGTTCTACTTTATTACTCCTATTCTACACAGGCACCAGTTTAAAGTTTACAGTAAAGAGCATCAGATTTCTTGCACCTGGTTTGATCCCATGTGACATAGTCTCTCCCTGCAGAATGGCTACCTACCGACCAAGATAATCACACTAACTGATCGTTGATTTAAGAATCAACATCATAACACACTGGGCATCTGAATAGGTGCTCTGTCTTCCCCAGCACTCCCTAAAACCTGGATCTGAACAAAAATGATGCAGCACATGAAAAAAGCGTTCACAGCCTTCAGAGTGCAAGGCAAATGGCTTCACTTCTTAGCATCAAAGATCCTCTCAATTAAAATATAAGAACATATAACAAAGTACAGGGCCGTCACTTTTACAATTTTGACTTCCATTTCAGGGAATTCCTGGAGAGAGAGGTCCTTTGGGACGTGTTGGACCCAGAGGAAATAGGGTGAGTATTGTAATAAATGTCAGTGTCTGGAGCTGAGTTTCTCTGAGATACCCGGTCCAATCCTGCTTTATGTTTAATTTGTCAATGGTATTGTTGGGAGCTGACTGTGTTCAGAAGCAGTGGCAAACTACTGTAAATGTGGTGATTGGTTGGAAAAAAAAGGGGGGGGGGGGGGGGGTGTGCTAACCTTTGTCATTCTAGGGGCTGTTAGAATCTGAGGATGTGTTATATGTAATTAGGGGCAACATTTCTGCTGTGGCCAAGCGGTCAAGATCGGTCATCAGATTTTTTTCCTTCCATTAATGATATTCCATGGTGGTGTAGTGGCTAAAAGCTTGCCTGTAGATCTGAAGGTCGTGGGTTCAGGTTTTGATAGAGCCAGGTCAACCCTGCCTTAAATAGGTGCCAGGTAAAGTTCTGGGAAGTAAAGGTGTCTGGTTTGATGTTGACCACATAGCCCACCAAGAGTTGATCGGTCTATAAAGTATAGGTCTAGCCCTATATGCCCAATACGCCTGAAGGTGGGGAAAAGGACAAAACCCAAACAGAGTGCTTATCACTGTCCCTTATAAAATAATTGACACAGACTGTAGTCTCGGCAAAACCAGTAGCATGCACATGTACTAAATGTATAAGGCAGCTGTTAGAAGTGCCAGCACAAACAGTCCAGCACTAGTAAGGCTGTCCATTATTGATGGGAGCAGCAGTAGTGATATATCAGTAGTTGCACGTGTAATTAATTACATAAGACCCCATTAGTTCTCTGGCATCACCATTTTCTAAATCTGCAATTCACAACACAAACCATGCTGGGCACTGTCAAATAGCATTCAAAATGAAGTCTGCAGCTCACAGTGTTACACCATACACTAAACTTAGTATATGGACCAGCAGCAGGAGCAGGAGCATTGCCTACTGTGTCAGTGGAGTCAGAAGGGTTACTTATTTAGTTTAATCTGCTGGCTTGGGTAGCTGAGGCTTTGTCACTGAATCAATAGTAAACTCTACAACACATGAAACAAAAGAGGAAAACTGAGTTAATAACTAAACGAAACAAAATTCTGTTTAAAACAACAAACAGAGCTACCTAAAGAACACAATTTTGTCATAATTTTGACATTCGAAATCTTTGTAATTAAATGAGCAAAATTGTTCAGATTTTGAAGAAGAATACCTTGGGGGTCAGTCAATCAACTGACAGTTATTTGTCATCTAGGTCATTGGCAGATTTATGCAAACTGGCTTTCCCATGACCTAATAGAAATGCACTGTCAGATAACTATGCATTTCATTTTCTGAACAGAAAAGTGCCCTTAGATAGCTAAGAGGTTTTTTAAATCTTTTTTTTTTTTAAGAAGATAGAGATTTTAAGGTTTTCCGTGGTCTTCTCTGCTTGTTGAGTATCCGCAAAATGTTGTTTAATTTAACAGGGTCCACCTGGCTCACGTGGTCGAGATGGTGAAGGTGGGCCAGCAGGAGAGCCTGGTCCAGCAGGTTTCCCTGGACCGCCAGGTGAGGGTGGAAGTGCTGCAGTTAAAGGAGATCCGGGTCCACCAGGCTTTCCTGGTCCTGATGGCCCTAACGGTCCAGCTGGACGAGACGGAGCAGCGGGACCTGCCGGGCAGCCAGGCCAGACTGGACCTCAGGGACCTCCTGGAGAAGTGGGACCACCAGGTGATGATGGTGCTCCTGGAGCCAGAGTGAGTATTATGTCTGTCTGTCTGTCTGCCCGCCTGCCTGCCTATCTGTGTGTCTTTGCATCTATCTGCCCATTTGTCTACCCACCCATCTATCTATCAATCCATTCATCTGTCTGTCTATCTCTTTGTCCATTATTCTCTGTCTCTCTATCTCAATTTCTATAGATCTATCTTTTTCCTATGTATCTGTCTGTCTACCTGCTAGCCTGTGTGTCTGTCTGTCTGCCTGCTTTTCTTCCTGTCTGTCTGTCATCTTTCTGTCTGCCTGTCCTTCTATTTATCTGTCTGTCTATTTATCTATCTGTATAACTACTTTTTATGTCTTTCCATCTGTCCATTCATTGGTCCCTCACTCTTTCTACCATCCAATATCCACCCATTCATCTACCCATCCATTCATCTATCTATAAGCCAGTAACACCAAGTGTCACTGGACCCTCAAATCCTTGGACTGTTAAATCAGGTCTTTCCATTTCTGAGTCGCAGTGGTGAAGTGGCTAGACGCTCGCATGGGATCGGAAGGTTGTAGGTTTGCGGAGCCAGACTTTTTTTAAATGACCTTGGCTCCCAGGTCAACCCAGCCTTGAGTGGGTACTGAGTGCAGTCTTGGGAAGTAAAGGCGGCTGGTGTGATGATGACCACATCACCCATCTTGTGCCTATTGGTCAATAAAATAAAAGTCTAGCCCTATATGCACCATCTGTCCAAAGGCCTGGAAAAGGGTCCTTTATTTTCTTTTCACTTTTTGACCATTTCTGGTGACCAGATTTGCTGGAGCAAGTTTCCACATTTTAGCTCCATCCAGATTTTGGATCCAGATCTTTTCTTGGCCCTCCTCATCTCCTCTTCCCTGGAAACATGCCCTGTTGTATATTTTTTAAAAAGCCAGTATATTTTAGTGCTTGTCTGCACTGTTGCCTTTTGCAAAATGTTACTGTAAAAAAAAAGAGATTCGTAGTTACTAATGTGTGAAGGATTTGGTGAATTTCATTATTTGTGATGTGGTCTATATATCTTCTTCTTCTTCCTCTTCTTTTTCTTCTTCTTCTTCTTTATTTTCTTCTTCTTTGCGCTCACCGGCTGTAAACTCAGGTGGAAAGTTTTGATTTTTGTGTTCACCTGTGGAAGAGTCAGTACACTTTATACTTTGATACATTATTATGCTTTCTTATCTCAGGGTGATGCCGGATCTCGTGGCTTGCCAGGAGAGGGTGGCATTGACGGGGAAAATGTAAGTACAGTTTGGCAAAAAGAGACACAGTAAACACAAATTTCTTTTATACAAACATATCTGGCAACTCAGTTAGATAATTTAAATATTTCTTACGCACCAAATTCCATTGAGAGGCACGAAAGGACACAAGAAGTAGAATAAACTGAGTGAGTAAATGGCTTTTTTCTTCTTCACAATTGAGGTCCTAACCAATGCCTGACATGTGAATTACTCTCCCCTTTATTTACCTCCATAGCATAATTTGCTCTCTTACTATTAAGATTTGGCCAGAGCATGTTTAAGAAATCTGGCTTTTCCAATGGTCACTATTAGAATGTTTATTATCACTTTAAAAATAATTAAATAATGAATTTTCATTGGGAATATTTGTTCACTTTGGCATATCATGTGAGGGCTTCTTGTACTGAAAGAGCTGGCAACTTTATACATCAGGCGTATGTTCTAGACCTATTTATTTCATAGAACAATCAGAGCGGGAGAGTTGATTTATTTAATATCATGTTGCCTGCCTTTGCTTTCCAGAGTTTTACCTGCTATCCATTTTAGGTGGGTTCTGTCTGGGAGTTGATATTATTCTGTAATAATCTACCTCCATGCAGATTTGAACTCTGACGCTCTGAGAAAGCTGGAAATTTTTTTTTTTTTTTTTTACACTTGTACTTGTTTTTGATGATATTCTTATGATATCCTATGTGGTGGTTTTTGTGTTCTGTCATCCGTCCTCAATGTCCTTTTCCTTATTTATATCTTTATATAGTTGCCCATCATCTTTTGTGGTGGAGTCTTGATATAGGTCAGTCTTTTAAAGGTTCCTAACTGTCCTCAGAGCATCCTTTGACAAGTACTTATTTTGTGTGTCTGTGTCATCTGGTGTTATTGTGTCTGTCTGTCTCTGTGTCTGTCTGGTGTCATTGTGTCTGTCTGTCTGTGTCTGCTTATTTTTCTCTTTGCATGTCTGTCTCTTCTTGTCTGCATTTGTATTTCTGTCTGTTTCAGTCTACAAGTATCTGAATATATGCTGGTTGTCTTTATCTGCCCGTCCATATATGTCTGTGTATCTGCTTGTATGTGGCTCTTTGCCTGACTGTCTTTGTCTGCCTGTTTGTCTCTATATTTTTGATGTCTATCTTTGTGACTGTCTGTCTGTCTGTTTGTATTGACTTGTCTGTACCTGATTGTGTCTGTCTGATTCTTTGTTTTGTCTGTCTGTGCCTGTTTCTATCTTCACCATGCCTGTCTCTATGACTGCCTGATTGCTTGTCTGTCTCTGTGTTTTCTGTACCACATAAAACATATAACACACAAATAGATAATTCTTGATCACATTTTTTTATATTTCAGGGAAGACCTGGACCGGACGGCGCTAAAGGATCAGCTGGCGAACCTGGCCCACCTGGCAATGCAGGACAACCTGGCCAGCCAGGCTTACCTGGACAACAAGGACTTAACGGACCTACAGGCTCTCCTGGACCTTCTGGACCACCAGGGGCTCAAGGAGAAAGGGTATGAGCACCATTATCATCAGCATCGTCACCACCACCATCACTGTTATTATCATCATTATCATCACTATAATTATCACTGTTATCATTATTATCAAGTTCACTTGTGTGGTACTCTCCATGGAACTATAAACACACCTTTGAGTGAATTGTAAACGTTGTTTGAGTGGTGTGGTATGTCCTATCTAACACATAAATAAACAGAGAAACATAGAAACATCAAATTTATGTTGTTTTTTTTAAAATGGGAGTTACTTTGGTGGACCGGCTCGACACCCCTTGCATATAGCAGGTCATGGGTTCGCTCCCTGGCAAAGCTGGATTTTCTTTTTTTTCAGACATGACCCTGGCTCCCAAGTCGACCCAGCCTTGAGTGGGTACCGGGTGTAGTCCTGGGAAGTAAAGGTGGCCGGCATGATGCTGACCACATCATCCATCTTGTGCTGATTGGTCTATTAAAAATTTAGGTCTAGCCCTATATGCCCTATACGCTTAACGGAATGGAAAAGGGTCCTTTACAATTGTTTTTAAAAAATATAAAATAAATAATGTATAATCAACACTCATAGAAAGAAGTAGAAATATAGAAGGAAACACTAAAAACATAAACATCTTAAGCTATAGTTACCGTGCTTGGGAATCGAACCTGTCAGCTCCAAATGGTAAGTGTGCCTTGCTATGGAAACAAGTGTATTAAGATAAAAGACCAACTAGGCACCCCTAAATACAGATATCTTTATTGGCCATGTCTATCGTACACATTTTAATCCACAACTATGGGATACGGACAGAATTTGTCTTACAAACTTGAAATGGCACTATAGGTTACAGAAATTTATATTAACCAAGCACAGTTCGATTAACAAACACAGCAATAATTTACAAACATAGCATACCATAATGCTTTGTCTAGAATACATCAAACATTTAGGAAAAAGATTTGATTAGTAGATTCCATTGTGTTATACGTAATACACATAAATAAACAGGGTTGAACCCTTGAGGCCATAGAAACATTTACATATATATGTATATATATAATAAGCAAACAAACAATGTATTGGTTGGCACTCGTGGAATGAAGTAGAAAAATACATGTATCCCTTACAAATTGCTTTTGTCCAGACTTCTGCAAACAAAAACATATAGTAGTGAAAATATGTTTACCCTGAAAAAAAAAAACCCAGTCAATTACTTATGAGTGTGATTGGCTTTTGTGTATAAGTTAGAAGGATTTACTAATTTGCTTCATTTTCTTTAACTGTTACTGTAATAAGGTTTTAAACTGTCTATTGCTTGTGTCTTCTTTGTTCAAATTTTCAATCTAGAAACATTGTTTAAATGTCAGCATCTGTGACTTAGGCGTTGCGAACATGCTTTGTAATTCTGAGGTGCCTGGTTCGATTTTAGCTGTCAGTCTTGCCTTGGTTTCAACAATGGTATAAAGAGCTGATGGTTCAGGAAGAAATGGCAAATTACTGAACATAACATTACCTAGTGAAATCACATACAGATGAAAAAATGCTGGGGTTGGTTCTGCAATATCCTGTAAAGGATAAGCAACTAACTTTACCCAACAGCTTTGATATGTATGTTTACTGGAAACCATAAGTACGTTGTTTGTGCTGAAAAATTGAAGACAGATGAGGGAAAACTTGTGAAGAAAAGGTCAGATGGAAGGTGATCAAGAAAGGAAGGACACTGTAAACTACAAATGGAGCTACTGAGAAAGTAAACTTGAAGCAACAAGAAAAGAAAAGCTATTTGCATTTTTTGCAGTATATGTCACTTCATAACATCAGACTGAAGATATGTGTCAAAAATTAAGAGCAGAATAGGCCAGGATGAAGAACATCTTGTGCAACAGGTCCCTCTCTTTGGATTCTGAAAAAAAGATTACTAAAATGCTATTTAGAACCTGTATTGTTGTATGGTAGAATATAAGAAAGAACTTAGAGGCGACGGAGAAATGGTTCCTCACTCGAATGTTACGAATTCCTTGGACTGCCAGAATAACTAACTAGGATTGCTTAAGAAAAGATAATGAAAATGAAAGATCAACATATTCAGCTATAAGGAAAAGAAAAGCACTGTTCTTTGGTCATGTGATGAAGCGATACGCTGTGGAGAATATCGGTAGATCAATAGTAAAAAAGAGAGAGGCAGACCGAGAGAGAGATGATGACAGATGAATTAGGAGGTTTGCATAGAGGGAGAGGCAGACAAAGAGAAATGATGACGGATGGTCTGGGAAGGTGGCATGGGGGGAGAGGCAGACTGAGAGAAATGATGGCCCCAGGTCTGCGAAGGTGGCATGTAGGGGGAGGCAGACTGAGAGAAATGATGACGGATGGTCTGGGAAGGTGGCATGTAGGGAGAGGCAGACCAAGAGAGATGATGACTGATGGATTGTGACAGTGGTATGGAAGGATATCATCGGTGGAACTGATCAAGACAGCAAGGAACAGACATCTGTGGAAAGGCATGAACACCTATGCCAGTCGGTAGGGTTCCTGATGATGATGATGATAAAGATGTGCCACTTAATACTGTTGATGTTGGGAACTTCATATTTGCTAATATACAGAACTATTTGTTTCTTTGGTCACACTTTCCAGCCAGTTGACATGATTTATTTTATAAAATATTTGTTGGTTTGCAGGGCTCTCCTGGCCAGTCAGGACCCCCAGGAATTGCTGGTGAAAATGGACAACCTGGCCCACAAGGTAACGATGGATTACCTGGAGAGAGAGGCAACACTGGTCCATCGGTAAGTTTGTTATCACCCTTGCTGCCATTCCTCACATGGGTTCTAGGGCCAGCTAGTTAGTTAGTCAACAGATTAAACTCACGGCATATTGAACTATTCAGTCCATAAGTGCTCTGATCCCCTCCTCAGTAAATCCAGCAGCAAGAAGCAGTTGACAACACCAGTCCTTTGTCATTTCTTACTCTTCTTTGGCTTCCTGCATAGTCCTCTTGTCTGGCCAACACTCTTTATAGCTTGCTGTTCTTATAGTCTGGTCATGGTTGCCAAATCAAAGTTATTTGGCCACTACAGTCATCTTACTTCTAGAGCAAGCATTCAGTATATCAGCCTGGTTCATGGGCAACTTAGTGGCAGACTTGTATGCAACATGGTGGTGTGCCTGGTGGCTGCCTTGGTGCACTCACTGGCAGCAGGCTTGAGCTTCACAACCAGCGAAGAAACTTAAAAAAGCAGCACAGACACCAGAGGCATGCACAAATAAAAAATCAGGTGTGATAAAACGGCGCAAGTGAAAACTAGAAGTAAACTGGAAATTAATTTCAACCAACAACACACCGCTTTGACAGAACCCCGGCTCAACTTAGGAGCTGGTTAAAAAAAAAAAGTTATAATTTTTTTTTTTCATTTACGACTACCAAGACCAAGACCAATTGTCTGCCCTCTACAGTAGTCTTATCTCCTTTTCTTGAATGCCTGCATGCTCTGACAGGGAAATAAAACTGAACTTTGTCAGCCCTGACCACCTCAGAGACACCAACCACTGTCTTCAGACCCAGAGCGGTTTTAAGTTCATGATGCTGTGAGAATCTTCTAGAAATATTTAGTCTCTAAAGCCCTGTTTAAATACATTTTGGAGTGCTAAATTGTTATTGGACCAAGTTGCGATAGAGACGCCTCTATATGAAGTAAAATCCCAGCTAAGTGATAGTGTTAAAACATTAGAGGTTACCTAGTTGTGTATTCCCCTGAAGGCTATGCCTCTTAACTCTTCTAGTCTGATGTTTTGGTGTTCAGTCTGTCTGAGCTCTGAAGAGTTCCTTTATCTTCTGGCGTGTAATCGATGCAGAAACTTGTCTGCTGAATACAGTACCAAAGTATTCTGTCCTTGGGAGCTGTGTTGCACCAAAGCTGGCCTTCTACTCGTTATGTAGAAAAACTGTTCGGTCATGCAAGGCCAATACTGGAATTTCCCATATTTACATCTGGGGGTTCCCCGTGTTAGCTCTTGGGTTCCAGTTGTTTGGAGAGAAACAAACTAGACACTGTCCTCTAACAAGCATGTTGTAAATGGCGACTAAATAGGAATTTAAAAAAAAAATCTCTTGTCCAAAATGCACAGATATCACAGACAAGCTGTAAACCTCGATGCCACCCTTTTAGGGACAAACACAAAATAAGAAGAAGAGTATGAAAGTGGATGAATGTTTGGTGCATAGATGGAAAGTGTGAGGCTGTTCACACCAGCATTTACAGAGCACACAGTACAGTTCCCATCAGATGCTGCCACTACAAATCCTGACAATGAAATGCTGAACAGTGGCTAGAGAAAAGAACAAGGAGACAATGTCATGATTCAAGACAACACATGAGGAATGGCTGAAATCGGGTTCACGTCATGTTTTCTGCACATGTCCGACTTGACTTTGAGACCTGATGACAAAAGCTTGAGTCTTGACTTAGAACTAAATATAATGACTTAGTCCAACCTCTGTATTTTAGGTACTTAACTCTTAACAGATCTGCAACAGGCTTTGGTAGTCATCAATGTCCACTGCTGCTGCTGGTGTTGATGGCAATAGGTTGGTAGGAAATAGCAAAACCATAAAATTATGAATAGCAGTATTTTTTAACCATTGTGTGTAGTTGTCATGATATTGTTTGGTATTGTCCTTAGGGACTTTCTGGAGGACCCGGAGGTCCAGGACCTCAAGGAGAGAGAGGACCTCCTGGATTTGTAGGTCTACAAGGAGAACCTGGCCCTGGTGGTAATGCTGGTGAACCTGTAAGTCATTTATAGCATTCACTCTGAGAGTGAGTTGAGGAGTAATCAGAGAGTGAGTTGAGGAGTAATCAGAGAGTGAGGGAGTTATCCTTGAGTGGGTTAGGAGTTGATCAAAGTGTGAAAGTGTGGAAGGAATGAGTCTGGGAGTGAGAGAGGGAGTGGGTATGGGAGTGAGAGAAGGTGTGGGTCTGGGAGTGGGTCAAAGTTCAACCACAAAATGGGGAAGTATTGAGACTGGGAGTGGGAGAAGAGTTAGGTCAGTAGGAGAAGAGGTGAGTCTGGAAGCATTAGAAGGGGTGAGTCTGAAAGTGGGAGAAGGGATGAGTCTGAAAGTTTGAGAAGGGATGAGTCTGAAAGTGGGAGAAGGGATGGGTCTGGAAGTGGGAGAAGGTATGAGTCTGGAAGTAGGAGAAGGGTTGAGTCTGAAAGTGGGAGAAGGGATGATTTTGGAAGCATGAGAAGGGGTTAGTCTGAAAGTGGGAGAAGGGATGAGTCTGGAATCATGAGAAGGGGGTGAGTCTGAAAGTGGGAGAAGGGATGAGTCTGGAAGTAGGAGAAGGGGTGATTCATTTTTAAATTGAGAAGAAAACTGTTACACATTAGACATTTAATTAGGTTTATATTTAGAGAAATTATACATTAATAAAAAAATTATTCATTTTTATATGACGGAGAAAGTTATAAGTTAATGACCAATCAATTGTTCTTGTATATAGGGACATTTTTATTTTTTTTTATATTTTTTAATGAGCAATCAATCTTTCTGAAGACTATGAGAAAGATATTATGAGTTAATGAGCAATCAATCATTCTGAAGTCTAGGAAAAAGATGTTATGAGATAATGAACAGACATTCATTCATTCATATGTCCAAGAGAAAGATGTTATGAGATAATGAGCAATCAATCATTCTGATGTCTACAAAAAAGTTGTTATGAGATAATGAGCAATAAATCATTCCCAAGTCTAGGAAAAGTATGTTATGAGATAATGAGCAATCAATCATTCTGAGATGAAAAAAGATGTTATCCAGGACCTGTGGGTCCTCCGGGTCTGGCTGGACCCTCAGGTTTTCAGGGAGAAGCGGGTCCCTATGTAAGTATTCTTTCTGACTAATTATTTATTCATCATCACCACCTCATTATCACCGCTACCCTATCATCAGCACCAGAACCAAAGAGAAGCGGTCCTTTTGTAGGTATCCTGACTAATTGTTTTTTCTTCTTCATCATCATCACAGTTGTCACCATCACCAACACCACATCATCATCATCAGCATCATTATCACCACCACCATCATTATCATCTTCATCATCATCATAATCATCATCATCATCATCACAGTTGTCAAAACCACTAACACCACATCATCACCATCATTATCATCATCACCACCATCAATATCATCATCATCCTTGTCATCATCATTATCATCATTATCATCATCATCATCATCATCATCATCATCATCATCATCATCACCACATCATCATTAATATCATCATTGACATCATCTCCATCATCATTGTCATCATCTCCATCATCATTGTCATCATCTCCATCATCATTGCCATCATCATCATCATCATCACCACTACCACAACCAACATCAGCATCATCAGAACCAAGGAGAAGCGGGTCCTTATGCAGGTATTCTAACTGCTAGTCGTTTCATCATATTTGCTAATATCATTGTAGCTAGTTAGTTTTGTTTGAGTCTGGCCTAGTTTAACCTGTGACAGAGTGGTAGCAAAATGCTTGGCTACTGATCCAAAGGCCTTGAGTTCAAATCTGCATTACACTAAATTTTATAAATAAGTAGACCAGGTGTAGCCAGCCTAAAGTGGCTACCAGGAAATGCTCCTCGAAGTAAATGGTAGTGACGATTACCTACCCAAGAAACAAACAAAATGAGCCTAGCACCACAAGGGGAATAAAACAATGGCATGTTTGTTTTACAGTTGTGTCATTTGGTTCACAGGAGCACTTTTTACAGAGATCCCTGGGGTCATCACCAGAGTTACAGAGTTCATGCTTTGTGTGATGCTCTTGGCGTGCGGCTAGCTTTCTGTGGAAGGAGACCAGGCTGTATGGGATAAAACCCAATGCAGTGGATGGGCCCCCTCCCCCCCCCCCCCCCGCAAAAAGTTTTTTTTTATTTGATAGATAGCCAACCCCAAACCCAATCGTACACTTAGTCACCTATCACTACATGCCTGGTGGGGTTGCGTGTTACTTTTCTTTGCTTTCCCAGGGGGCGCTGGTTAACACATGAACATATTATTGCTAGGGAGAGCAGATTTCCAGGCTTGTATTGTAAATGAAGTATTCCGGAACTGTCCCAAGTACACTGTATCTCTGTTCAGGATTATGGGTTGGGGGGGGGGGGGGGGGGGGGGGCGTGCTTCTTAAAGAGGTCAGCAACCAACATTATACAAATAAGCTAGATCTGTAAAATGAATGTCCATGCAAAACTCAAGTTTTGGACCAAGACCAAAGTACAGGAGTGGATGAATAACCAGAACTTTCCTTTGGAGTTTACAGCTGGTGATTACTAAGAAGAAGAAGAAAAAGAAGAAGAAAAAGAAGAAGAAGAAGAAGAAGAAGAAGAAGAAGAAGAAGAAGAAGAAGAAGAAGAAGAAGAAAAAGAAGAAGAAGAAAAAGAAAAAAGAAGAAGAAGAAGAAGAAGAAAAAGAAAAAGAAGAAGAAGAAGAAGAAGAAGAAGAAGAAGAAGAAGAAGAAGAAGAAGAAGAAGAAGAAGAAGAGGAAGAAGAAGAAGAAGAAGAAGAAGAAGAAGAAGAAGAAGAAGAAGAAGAAGAGGAAGAAGAAGAAGAAGAAGAAGAGGAAGAAGAAGAAGAAGAAGAAGAAGAAGAAGAAGAAGAAGAAGAAGAACACAGCAAGGGCATCATCAGTCATTATTCGCTTGTGCAGCTACTGAGGAGGAGATCAGAACACCTATGGATCTGTCCATAGTTCTGTGATGGTAATGCTCACTAATCACCAATTAAAAAAACAAAGATTGCTTCTTGCAGAATGCGTTAACTTAACAACTCTCATTCTCATACACGGCAAACTTTTCTTTCAAATGCCAGGGTGACCGTGGCCAAGATGGTTCTCCTGGAGCCCAGGGAAGACCCGGTGACAAGGGATCAAGAGGTACACCAGGCTCACCAGGTCCACAAGGAGTTATTGGTGCCCCAGGTCAGCCTGGACCCAACGGCCCCCCTGGCCCACAAGGAGAACGTGGAGAAAGGGTATGTCTGTCAACTTGATAATGACCTTTTCATTTGATATAGAATTGGATCCTGAAGCCGTGAGGCATTCCAGTCAAATCCAGCTGTGACTCGCTGCAGCCACGGTCGATGTTCGAAACCGGGTGGCTCCACGGGGTTCACCCAGCCTCTAGGAAATGGGTACCAGAGTTGATACTCGGGGGTAAATGGAAGAACGTCGCTGAAGCTACAGAGTTACGTGCGTACGGCAACACAGGCAGACAGTTTCTTATCAGCTGTCCGGACTGTTGGCAGAGCACTTATGGTTTATAACCGTGTGCAATGATGCTGGTTCACATCTCTCGACTTTACCTTTTACCTTTACCAGGAGTAGAGAAAACAAGAAGAATAGGACAGAACTGAAGGACTCTGTAACGAAGTGGCCAAGCTGTTTACCTCATGCTCTGAAGGTTATGAGTTTGTTTCACTATCGTGCCCTCCTGTTCATGAGTGTCATATTTCCCAGAGATACCTGGGGATCTTTCCCAGAGCTACAGTGTTTGTGCTTTGTGCGATGCTTGCTCTCACCAGGTGACTAGCTGTTCTGTGAAGAGAGAGCCTGAGCGGTACCAAATCAAACCCAGTGCAGTGAAGTCAATCCTCTCAACCTTAAACCTTTACTACAAATTTCAGCATCATCATCAGGTGCTCTCTTTTTGTGTACATACTCTGATTGTTCAACATGGTGTTTCATCATCATCATCTTGAGTAAAGTCAGCTGGTCTGTGTGTTTGTGTGTGTGTGTGTGTGTGTTTGTGTTTGTGTGTATTTTTGTCCTTCTGTCTCTCATCTAATTCCCCCATCTTCACCATTTTGTTGTCTCTGTACTTCTCTGTTACTCAGCCTCACTTATCACTGTCTTTTATATTTTTTCTCATTATTCGTCACTGTCTTTTATATTTATCTCATTCTACGTCACTGTCATTTACAATTTTTTTAATTCTACGCCACTGTCATTTATAATTTTCTCATTCTACGTCACTGTTATTTATAATTTTCTCATTCTACATTGCTGTCATTTATAATTTTCTCATTCTATGTTATTTATAATTTTTAAAATAATATACATCACTGTAATTTATTGTTTTCACTTTCTACTTCAGTATCGTTTATCATTTTCACCTTCTATTTCACTGTCACTTATTATTTTTGGCCTTCTGTGTAATGTTACCTTTAACACCATATTACCATTTATTGTCACCATCAACACCATACAATCTCAGATTCAACACCAAATCACCATGTGTATTTAAAAGCATTTCTTTATACTTTTTAAATTTTTTTGCAAAATACCTTTTTTATTTTGCCTTCAGTAATAGCTAGACATACATACTAATCACCTAATATAATCATTTAATAAACTTGATTCAACAACAAAAATGTACCTCTTATATAATACTTCTTTCTGCCGCAGGGTGAGCGAGGAACGTCTGGCCCACAAGGCTTGCCTGGACCTCTAGGATCACAGGTAAGAGGAGGAGGACTCCTAGACACCCACACATAAATGGGGATCTTTTTGTGTGTGCTTGCTGATAAAGACTTAGGTTGAATGTTTGATTGTTTCTGTGCATGTTATTTCTTCCCCCTTTTTTCAACTTCCCTGTTATAACCTGTCTTCATAAATTTATTTCTTGATTTAGTTTAAAGTCAAAAAGGACAAATTTGCTACACCTTCATATGTATTAGACATCTCTTCTTCTTCTTAGCGTTCGCTGAACATAAACTCCAGTTGAAAATTCTGGTTGTTCATCCCACTTCTGGAGTTTGGTCTTGATTCAGAACACTGCTGAACTTATTCTATGCCTTAGTACAGGGCACAATCGACTTCACAGCCAAACGCAAACAATATTTAAGATTGTGGAATCAGCCATGTGTACATATTGATTGGCACATGAGACTACAGATCCCATCCTCCAAGACTGTCATGCAGGCCAGACTTTACAGGGCTGAAAGAATTACAAAAGTCAGTGAAGTTTCATACTAGAGACAACATTGCAATATTGATAATCTATTTCAAGCGAATGAAAGAAGAAGCGGAAGAATTTGTCAGAACTTGAATTCTGCGTGTACATTCATTTTACAAATCTGGCTTATTTATACACAGGCTGCTGGTTCCTTGCCTTTGAGGCTGATGCATTCTGACTTCAAAGGAAAGTTCCCTAATTGGTCGGCTTTTTACAAAATGCTTGTTGCAGGAGGAGGGGTGGCACAGTGGGTTTCCTAAAACCCCCACCCTACCCCCCCCCCGCCCCCCCCACCCCCCCCCCCCCCCCCCTACCTCTACCCCCCCCCCCCCCCCCCCCCTACCTCTCATACTTCTTCTCTTCCACCTTGTACTTTATCGAAGTGTCATGGAGAGATGTAACATTTGTTAATGAGCTTTGTCAAAAGCACTATTAAGACTGATGTTCATTTCTATAAGGCTGTTCTTAATTCCATCACGCCATATTTACCTAGGTCTTCCACTCGCTCTTTACCTGTTGTAACGATTTAGTGTGGCTCACTGTGGCAGATAGTACCAGGGCATTCTTGTTAGGTGTCCAAACCACTTCATTTGTTGTTCTTTGATAACCTGTTAAGATTGGCTTTATTCCTAGCATTCGTCTGATTTCTTGATTTCATATTCTGTCTTTTCTATATGTCATAATGACCTCCCATACTGCAGCCCTGAATAGCACATGGGAAGTACTGAGCATATGGTGCTAGACGTTTAGTTTATAGACCAGTGGGCACTTGGTATGTGATGTGGTCAACATCATGGCGGCCGTAGTTTAAGGTGGGTGCCAGTCATTTTTGTGGAGCATAGAGGCTGCTATCTCAAACACTAAACTACTTCAAGTCACAAACCAAGAAACTTCAGACAGTATGATAACCAAGAGAAGATGGAAATGGCTTGGCCACGTTATGAGAATGACTTCTGATATACCTGCCAAAACAGCTCTCACATGGACACCAGAGGGAAAGAGAAAACAGGGGCGCCCAAAAACAACATGGAGACGAACGATGGAAAGTGACCTGAGTGAGGCATCTTTGACATGGAAAACTGCACTGAAGATTGCACGGACGCATGGAAAGTCCTCTCTGAAGCTTCATGTGCCACTAGGCACAACGAGAACTGATGATAGAGGCTGCTAGCCGATATTGGCCATTACATCATGTGGGGCAAACACCATTTACCTAGTGCATCTTCAGTCATTAAATATTTATGTTAAACAGTGTGTGTGTGTTTTTGTGTGTGTTTTTGTTTGTTTATGAATAAAGTATAGGGAACAGTTTTAAAGAATGAAAGGTTTCACCTAAAAAAAAAGCATGTCTTCATATCAAGCATCTGATCAAGATAGTGGATGTAATCAAAGCAAAATCCTTTTTAGCCTGCCTAAATATTTACGTTATTTGCAGATATTTACGTTTGTCATTTACTTTTGGTTATTTAATATTACAGAGATTATTCATTAATTATAGCAGGTTGTATGAGAATAGATTGTTTGTTCATTATATTTCAAATTATCTTAATTAATAGCTTCGTTTAGGGGCAAGACGCATGTTGGTGGATCAGAAGGTCATCAGGGTCGGGTCCTGACAGAGCCAGACATTTTTCAAAAATGATCTTGGCCCTCAGGTCGACCCTTAATCCTTCCCTGTGTTGCAAAATCACTTGTGTTTATACTGCATATAATATTTTCTGTATTTGCTGTGTAGGGACCTCAAGGTGTGTCTGGGGAAGCTGGCAGACGTGGCAAGAATGGAGCTAAAGGAGACAAAGGCTGGCCGGGACGACCAGGAACTCAGGGAGCTCCAGGACCTCAGGTATGTATACAACAACAAAGCAAAACTTTAGGAGTAGCCATTTTTAACTAGCCAGGGAAATTTTACTCTTAGAGAAAGGGGAGTTGTCAACTCACACAGTTTGTGGTTAAAGCTGTAATTACTTTTTTTTTTAAATATCCAGAAACCATGATTTGTTAACCCTTTAACTCGGTACTATGGATATTGCAACCCTTCGACCTTGATTCCAATATAGATACCCGAAACCTCTGAGAAATATGGCTTTTCTGCCTACCCCCAGGTGTGATCCAGGACCACAAGGAGTTAATCATCATCGCACAGTCAGGTATTATCAACTGAGCTAATGAACCAGGCATAAGCAGTGGAAATGGGAAATAACTGGGTCTTAATCTTAAAGTCCTTGCTATGGGGCATTGGTCATTATGTCTACCCACAACCTTGTCTCATGTACTTTCAAACAGTTCTGACAGGTATTCTATCTATCATGTCCAACTTCCCAGCATCTTTTCTCTGGGTCTCCCTCTGCATCCTTTTACCTTCAGATTTCCTACCGTCATGATAAGCTGCAGTTTTCTCCTTCTCATGATGTGACCAAAGAATGAACCCCGAACAAAGCAAACAAACCGGCACTGTCCAGCAGTGTAAACTTTGCCTCGCCACCCCAGGGTAATAGAGATGAGATGAGGAAGACATTTCCAGCTTAACTCTTTGTGTCCCAGGGGGCTTCGCATCAGAGGCCCATGGGGAAATCAAGAGAGATGTAAAATCAACACATCTTATGTTCACTGGTCTTCTAGGTAGGAACCTATGAACACATGATGAGTTCTTTGGAACTGAAAGAGTTAATTGGTAAAACTATATTATTGTTTTTTTTATTAATTTTGGTGTTGTTGTTAAGTTAAATCTACTTCACAGGATGTTCTCAACCAGCCCCAGCAATACTTGGCTGTCTGTGATTTTTTTTTTTTTGGGTGCTTATCAATTAATCGAAATAAAATAGACATGTTTTGTTTTATTTCTTATTTAGGGAAGCAACGGCGACCCAGGATCTCCAGGACTCCCAGGACCAGCAGGACAGCCTGTAAGTTGTGATAGATAATGTAACATGTATTTGTAAGTTGAGATAGATAATGTAACATGTATTTGTAAGTTGAGATAGATAATGTAACATGTATTTGTAAGTTGTGATAGATAATGTAACATGTATTTGTAAGTTGAGATAGATAATGTAATATGTATTTGTAAGTTGTGATAGATAATGTAATATGTATTTGTAAGTTGTGATAGATAATGTTATATGTATTTGTAAGTTGTGATAGATAATGTTATATGTATTTGTAAGTTGTGATAATGTTATATGTATTTGTAAGTTGTGATAGATAATGTAATATGTATTTGTAAGTTTTGATAGATAATGTAATATAAATTTGAAAGCTGAGATAGATAATGTAATATGTATTTGTAAGTTTTGATAGATAATGTAATATGTATTTGTAAGTTGTGATAGATAATGTAATATGTATTTGTAAGTTTTGATAGATAATGTAATATATATTTGAAAGCTGAGATAGATAATGTAATATGTATTTGTAAGTTTTGATAGATAATGTAATATATATTTGAAACATGTATTTTAAATTGAGAAAGATAATGTTATTAGTATTTGCAAGTTGAGACAGATTACACTGTTGTTCATACTGTGTGTATCTACATTGGGAGAATGTTAGAAAAATGGACCTCCGCTTGAATAGTTGGAAGACAAAGAAGCAGCCATATTATCAAAGAAAAGAATTTTGAGTAAATGTATTATTATACAACTGAAGGGTACTATTTTAGGACAAGTACAAAAATGTAAATAACTAGGCACATGGATAACATCAGACAGAAGATGTATCACAGAGATTTAAAAAAAAAAAAACATGAGAGGCAAAAATTGCATTTAAAAAACTTTGAACATCTTATGTTATAAATCCATCTCATCGGTGGTTAGAAAAATAATTCTCTCATGATATATGGAGCAAATATCAACACGTGGCTTTGAATCCTGGACAAATAGTAGACAAGCTAAAGAAATTCTTGAGACCTCAGACATGTGGTTTTACAGAAAAATCTTTCTGTGGACAGCCAAATGGAGCAAACCAAAGGTTTTGAAAGAGGCGAGAGCCTGAAGATGACTTATCCCAAATATCTTGAAGAGACCGTCATCAATATTTTTGCTCACATTTTAAAAAGAAGGTGAATGGAACATTTGTGACCTCAGAAAACATTTGTGGAAAAGTAAACAGGAATAGAGGAAGACAAAGTGATAAGTTACTTGTCAGATTTTGTCATGGCATGAAGCGGTGACCAGCACATGAACTGATACATACTGGTAAACAGAAAATCGCAGGTTGTGGAGAGGCATGATCACCCATGCCAGTTGGTATTTCATTTGATCATGATGTAAGGTGAGGTTTATTTACACTGTCAGTTCAGTTATAAGTTGAGGTTTAGAGTTACCCTTCCTTTGTTCTAGCATCATCAGATACGGGAGTTACCTTTCCCTTGTTCCAACATTATCAGATATGGGAGCTACCTTTCCCTACCCAGATCACAGTCAAATGATGTATAGTGTTGTTGATGATTATCACTGTTTTACAAAACAAAGATTTGTGTTCCTCGTCTCTAGGGGTCAGCAGGACAAAGGGGACTACCAGGAAGAAATGGAGCGCCAGGACCTATTGGACGTCCAGGCCTCAACGTAAGTGCAATTTCTTAACCTGCAGTATATGAGGCAAGGCATTTTTTTTTTAAAACTACCTGAGCTTGTACATCAGTGCAATGGAAGTAAAGATGGTCACTTTACTTGTTAGGCACTTTTTCTTTTCATTCTTTGCACTTAGGCACTTTTTTTTTTCATTCTTTGCATTCTTCTTCTCCTCCTCCTTCTTTTCTCCTCTTCCTCTTTTTCTTCTTCTTTTCCTCCTTCTTTTTCTCATCCTTCTCCATCTCTACTTCCTCCTCATCATCCTTCACATTTTCCTCTTCCTGCTGCTGCTGCTGCTTTTTCTTCTTCTTCTTCTTCTTCTTCTTCTTCTTCTTCTTCTTCTTCTTTCTTCTTTCTTCTTCTTCTTCTCTCTTCTTCTCTTCTTCTGCTTCGCTTCTGCTTCTTCTTCTTCTTCTTCTTCTTCGTCTTCTTCTTCTTGCTTCTTCTTCTTCTGCTTCTTCTTCTTCTTCTTCTTCTTCTTCTTCTTCTTCTTCTTCTTCTTCTTCTTCTTCTTCTCCTCTTCTTCTTCCTTCTTCTTCTTCTTCTTCTTCTTCTTCCTCTTCCTCTTCTTCTTTCTTCTTCTTCTTCTTCTTCTTCTTTTTCTTCTTCTTCTTTATTTTGTTACTCAAAAAATATAATTTCTAATTACAGGGACCTCGAGGACCATCAGGAGATGACGGACCAGCTGTAAGTAGCAAGTTTAAAAACCAACAAAATAAATGTCAGTTTTTCCCATCAAGTACTCATCTCACTTCCTTATCTCACTTCCTTATCTCACTTCCTCATCTCACTTCCTCACTTCCTTATCTTTCTATGCTAGACAGTGAGATAAGAAAATCTTTTGAAAAATAAATAATCCTGGGCTATGCTAATAAGTTGCTGGTGTTACTGTTCATTATCTCACATGATTGATCACTAGAATCAAGGATCAAGACTTGTTTAACAATTTTTAACTTCATCATTTTGTATTTATTATCTTCTTGGTCTTCTTCAGTATTCAAAGCATTGACTGCTGCAGATACCACCCATCCATTAATTTCTGTGGTTGACCTTCTCTTTCCAGCTAGTGGCTTCAAATGTTTATAGTTTGCCTGAATACTAGCTCTCCGTGCTCTTCTGTATCTGTTTCCATTCATCTCTTTTATGTAGGCAGTTTTTGTCTCTCTGTTATCTGCCATTCGTTGTGTATCTTCCAATCATTGCAGTCTATTATGCCTCAGTTTACCAGTAATTAGTAGTGATTTAACTCTTTGAGTCCCAAGGAACGCATCATATGTTCATAGGTTACTGTCTAGAAGTCCAATGAATGTATGATGCGCTGATTTTATGTCTCTTTTGACTACACTTTGGACCTGTGATGCTAAACCCTCTGGCACTCAAAGAGTTACACAGACTCTTGAATTGTACTGTTGCTTCTCACTCTCCCTTCTCCACTATTTTCCTGTTTGGTGAGGTTTAAAGATGTCTTGTAAGACTGCTGTCCAAATTTGCAATGAGGTGTCAGTTTTTTTTAGCAGTTGTGCCATATGGGTCTTATCAGTATTATTCTTTATATTGTGATCTTTGTGTTACAAGAGAACATTCAATTTTAGTACATGTTGTATGGTTTTTCTTTGCATGTTGTATTCTAGATTTAATTACTTCTCTTTTTAGCACTTGAAATTTGTGCCTAAGTACTTGTATGTTCGTCTTAATGCTTCTATTATTAATTAAAAGTTGAGATGGAATGACTACTAGATTAATCAAGAGATGACAGATCAAAAGGTTCAAGACTACCCTAGATAGTGCACGACAGAGAGCCCTGTCACTTAGACAAAGGAAGCAGGGCAGACGTCACCAATGCAAATGATTAACAGATATTATATTTGAGGTAAAAAATCCCAGCATATATATAGCCTATACCAAGGCCTGCTGTAAATGCCTCTTTGACACCTGACACTGAAAAACAGATCAGGACTAGAGGAAAGAAGATGATGATTAATTAGAAAGATGTTTATCATAGGTAGTAAGTTACCATATTGTGATTTCAGCTGTTTACTGCAACAGTTTTCTCTTTCATATATTTACCTTTATAAACTTTTTTTTCTGTTAAACAGGGACCACCAGGTATCCCAGGAGCTCCAGGGCCACCTGGACCACCTGTAAGATTAAAACATTTTTTTTTATTTCATCTTGTTAACATACTAAGATTTATTATTCACACAACTAAATTTCTTATTTGCACAACAAGATTTATTATTTACACAACCAGATTTATTATTAACACAACTAAATTTGTTATGGGATTTGTAAGGGATACACAATTAACTATCTAGAAGATCATGGATACATCCAGATTTGTTATCACAATCTCCAGGTTGAATTTCAGTATAACCATATCTATTAACCACACATCCAGGTGTAGTATCCACACATCTGTATTTATTATCCACACATCTAGATTTATTATCCACACATCTATATTTATTATCCACACATCTATATCTATTATCCACACATCTAGATTTATTATCTAAACATTTATATTCATTACCCTCATACCCAGATTAGTCGAACATCACACAACCAGATTTTTTATCCTCACAGAATGAAATTTCTTATCCTTCCTTAGGGCTATGGTCCTGGTTCTACAGCCGGTCCATCGTTCGGAGGATTCCAAAAATACCAAGACTCCTACCAATATGACCTTAGAGAAGTACAATGCTGCTTTCCACATGCTGCTTTATTATTATTGTAATTGACTCAGAAAGCATGCTGAGGAAAGTGAGGACAGGCATGCTTCATGCAGAGTGGCAGTCTTCACTTTGGAGGTCATGTGTGAATAGCACTGTCTGGATCTTTTCTCTGAGACACTTGTTCCACTTGGACATTTCCATGGCCCATTAACACTGTGTTGAACTACATAAGTATATCTCTTTTTATCAACTGCTGTTAGTTGAACCATGTATATGTATATATCAATTCAATAATCATTCTTAAAGTTAAGCCACCTAGCTGTGTCAGAATAAAATCAAGTTTCCATGTCGTCAACTCTGGGAATCTAGGACACTGAAGCAGCGTATGAAGGCCTCAATGCTGCACGCGAGGCCATCAATAGAGTCTATCGACCAACTGGCAGCAGAACATCTCCTGGCCGCACCTGCAAGGACATAAAGAGGCATAACCCTGACTTCAAGAATGGTAAGAATGTCTTTAGCTTTATGCTTGGTCATCATCATCATCAGACCTCAGCATTTCCTTCATCTTCATGGGGGTTCAGAAAAGAATATACCCACAGCTTCCCTTAACAAGCATGAAAAAAATGGTGAAAAATCAAGAGTTTGTTGAAGTCAGATGGGTTTGGCTGAAAGATGCAGATATTTCAGTCAAGCACTAAACCAACATCACAATGTCCCAACTACCTATTTGAGGAAGAAAAAGAACCAAGAGCAGCAACAGCAGAAAAAGAAGACAATGAAGAAGACGAAAAAGGAAAAGAAGAAGAAGAAAAAAGAAAATAAGAAGAAAAAAAGAATAATTAGCAAGATTGTAAAAATAGATTTAAACAATACAAAAAAAAAAAAACAAATTCTAAAAGTGAAAGAAGAAACAAAAAGGACAGAAAGGACATAAAGGAGCATAAAGAAGATAGCAGGAGAAGAACAGAATGAAGGAATGAAGGAGTTAAAGATTGGAAAAGGAGAACATGGCAATTGAAGGAAGGTGACAAAGAAATGAAGGAAGAATGAGATTAATGAAAAGACAAAGGAAATGAGAAGACAAGAAGAAAGAAATCAAAGAAAGATACAAGAAAAATATAAGAAGAAAAAGGCAGCATTATGAAAAAGGACAAAAGAAATATGAAGAAGAAGCATTGACAGAAATAGAAATAAATAATTGTAAACCCAGCTATTGCATGATTGTCTGTACTTGTATGTGTGATACATAAATATCTGTATTGTCTCTATCTAAGAGTGCTGATCAGTGCATTATGATTTGAACGTGTGACAAACCTGGTTTCACTTTTGTAACCTAGCTTCTTCTTCTCCCTCTTTTCCAAAGACCCAGTTCTGATTTTAAGCATCAGGTTGTTATGATTACTGCATCCAAGTGTCAAATGCAGTGTTGTTTTAAAGCCATACTGGCTGTTGCCGGGGGCCCTAATATAACCCAACTGCAGATTGAACACGGTTTCTGGGACCTGTCCCTGGGTGATCCTCACCTGAATGATGGCACTTTGTGTCACCCGGTGTTTATCGCTTGGTGTGATGTCCTAGTGGGATTGAACGGTCTTGAATATTTCCACTATCCGTCACTTTTGAGGGCAGCTCTAGCTCTGATTTCATTGTTTTTAGAGTGACAGGACTCTCTGTGTTGCATTATATTCTGGTTGTCTTCACACTCATTTCAGTCATTGGATCCTCTGTCTGCTGATGTAGTTTAGCACGGCCCTTGGCATTCCCTGGCTTTATATTCTCAGGCCTATTGTGAATCTTCATGCCACTGGCAAGACATCAATGTGGCTGCTTCAGGATACATCACTTAAGTGATTTTGTGTATTCATGTGATTTTGTTTGATTTTTGTATGTGCTGATGAAGGCTCTTTAGCTGCAATGTTCATATTACGCTTGTGTTTGTTATATTGCTTTGTTTTTGTTATACTGTGAAGCTCGCTGATCTACTTTTCGTTCAGTTTTATATCTTTCCATGATAGTTTGGCATTGGTTCCACCAAAACTTGATAACTTGTATACCTGTCTGTATATCAGTGTTCTTGTATGCCCAGTTTTGATAACATTTCACATTGTTACACTCCTGCAGGTGAATACTGGATTGATCCCAATGAAGGATCAACCACTGATGCCATTCTTGTCTACTGTGACTTTGATACGGAGGAGAGCTGTATCAAGTCCAATCCTAACAACGTGAGCCAAAGTTAAATTCATTTGTATATTTTTTTTTCAAACTGCCATTTAGAAATCTGGCCACTTTACTACAAGAATAATTGTAATTGTCTATATCGTCATCATCGTCATCATCATCATCACCATCATCATTATCACCATCATCATCATCATCATCATCATCATTACATGCACTGTAAATAAGTGTAAGTGGTTATGTTTCGTCATCTCACACCACTGCTAGAATCACAGATCAAGTCTGTGTTCCTTCAATGTCCATATTGTGTAGCCTAGCCATCCACATTTTTGTCTTGTCCTACCCTTAAACTTTGATACGGAGGAGAGCTGTATCAAGTCCAATCCTAACAACGTGAGCCAAAGTTAAATTCATTTGTATATTTTTTTTTAAACTGCCATTTAGAAATCTGGCCACTTTACTACAAGAATAATTGCAATTGTCTATATCGTCATCATCGTCATCATCATCACCATCATCATCATCATCATCATCATCATCATCATCACCATCATCATCATCATCATCATCATCATCATTACATGCACTGTCAATAAGTGTAAGTGGTTATGTTTCATCATCTCACACCACTGCTAGAATCACAGATCAAGTCTGTGTTCCTTCAATGTCCATATTGTGTAGCCTAGCCATCCACATTTTTGTCTTGTCCTACCTTTAAAATTTTTTCATCAAGTTTACCACTTTTCAATAAGTGATTTTTCTCTATGGTAAAGAAATTGGGTGATATTACCACTAAATCATCAAGTGCTATTTCTTTTCTTTACCTGTTAGGGGCCTGCGTTAGCGCAGTCGATAAGAAGCTTGCTTTCAAATCCGGCTGCGATTCGCTGCTGCCCTCTAGGAAATGGGTATTAAAGTGATACTCTGGGGTAAGTGGAGGAACGTCGCTGTAGCTACAGAGTTACGTGCGGACGGCGACACAGGCGGCCAATTCTTATCAACTGTCGGTACTGGTGGCAGACCACTTATAGTTTATAACTGTGTGCAATGACGCTGGAATGAGTGACCATACACCTTCATCAGCAGAATTCTTTCATATCTACAATTCTCACTCAATCTGTTTCTGATATGCTGTGCATTCTTCCACTGACCTCTGCAGTATTCAGATACATTTACTTAACTCTTTCTTTCCTAAGAAACACATCATATGTTCATAGTTTCCCACCTAGAAGCCCAATGAATGCAGCTGATCCAATTTTATGACTGTCTTTACTACCCTTTGGGTCTCTGATGCTAAATCCCCTGGGATTAAAAGAGGTAATAAAGAAATCACAAACAACAGATTGCATGATTTATTGCCTGGTATATTAAATAATACCTGTTACAGCATTACAATCTTGCTCTGGCGATCATACCATGCACTTTGCTTTGGAAAGTGGCCTCATCCAAAACCCAGGTGTTCTTAGTCCAGTAGGCAGATGTGGTCAAGGCTCTTTGGAAACAAGCAAAGGAATCAGTAGAGATAGAAGATTATTATGGCCTGGAGAGAATGAGGCACCTGGGTGTAACCAGAGGGTCTGGCCGGCTCACTACACTCAAAGGAAAGGCAAGACGGACATATAACCAGATTGTGACCGGTACCATTAGTATTGGAACTCTGCACTGGCTGCTGACAGTGAGGATGGAGCATGCATGGGAATGCCCTGAGTGCTGTGATGTTAATTCTTGACTTAACTCAACTCAACGCAGTCCAGGAGGCATCAATGTCCAACATACCTTCATCTAAACAGTTTTGCTGTCACATTTTAAATTTTATTTATTTTTATGTGCATAATATTTTATTTTATTTTATTACTTTATTCTATCTCTTATCAGTACCATTTATAGATCATTATAATTTCTTTAACTCTTTTATTCCTACAATTATATTATATATTAACAATATAAAAAAAAAATTTTGGTGACCATTTTTCGAGCCTTCATTTATTTTATTTTATTTCATTCCTCCACATCACCTTTTTTTTTACAGTTGCTCACGTGACCCCTTCGTGGTTGGAGTACTCTCCTCTTTGTTACCACTGTGTAGTTCATTTCATCTTAGGCGTTGCCAGTCCGACTCGTAATTCCAACGTACCGCGATCGAAACCCACTGCTGGCTGCGTGGATTTTATCGACGTCGCAGGTCGACCCAGCCTGAAAATGGGTACCAGGATGGCTGTCCTGGGGAAGTAAAGACTGCCGGAGTAATGATGACCACATTACCCATCCAGTGCCGAGTGGTCTGTAAAAATATGGGAAGCTCTTCCCACATGCCCGATCCGCCTAAGGCGTGAAAAGGGATCTTTAATTTGTTACTAGTTTATTTCATATAGAGAAAGGCTCCCACCAAAATGTCGATTTGTAATAGTTTTAGATGTTTGTAATGTTTGAAATGTGTGAACATTTTCATTGCAGCATTTTTTTATTACAGTTCAGTTAAAAATAGCATATAGGAAAATGTATCTCTTGGCAACATTGGAGCAGGTTACCCTACTATTGTCGAGCAAGTAATTAACACTTTCACCTCGGTGATCAAGGGAAAAAAATGGGACAAGGGAGAGTGGGGGTGGTTGTTTCAAGGGACTTTCTTGGGATGTCCTGTTTTCAGCAAAAAATATTAAATTAATACAATGTCCCATTTTCAGCTCATGATATTGTGCTCACCCTAGGGGTATATCACTATTTCACAGGCAACTGCCAAGCAATAAATTATGCAATCTGTGTTTTTTTTTTAATTTACAGCGGGGAAACATTACTTTCAATAATAGTAATCTACTAGCTGTCTATGATTTGCTTTTTTTTTTTTTTATATGGCAGGATTAGTTCAGTATAACATATTATAATATATTCTTTAACTCTCTGAGTTCCAGAAAGTGTTATCAAAAGTGCCCATATGTAAAAATAACCAATAGGCTTTCAACGATACTAAATACTGCAGAAGCCAGATTTCTCAAGTATGCTGTGACAAACAATTGAAAAAGACTAGAACATATTGTATACTGGGTGGGATTAACAGAAGTAATAATCATGCATACAGATTGCTTGGGACTGAAAGAGTGAAATATATTTGTTACTTCTTCTTTGAAAGATTTGTTACTTCTTCTTTGAAAGATTTGTTACTTCTTCTTTGAAAGATTTGTTACTTCTTCTTTGAAAGATTTGTTACATTAAATATTCTTCACCTTATGAAACAAATAAATAAGGTCCTCTTTTTTTTGTTTTTAACACATCCATTGGCACATCAAGCATATGATGCTGACCTCATGTTTATTCATTACTGATACTTTAAGAAGGCAGAGCTTCTGTGGTGTGGTGGCTAGACGACCACCTATAGATATGAAGGTCGGGATTCAGGTCCGATAGAGCCAGACTTTTGTTAAAAAATGACCTTGGCTGCCAGGTCGATACAGCCTTAAATGGGTACCAGGTGAAGTCCTGGGAAGTAAATGCAGTTGGCTTGATGTGGACCATACCACTCACCTGACGCCGATTGTTCTTTAAAATATAGATCTAGCCCAGTGTGCCAAATACAACTGAAGGTGTAGAAAAGGGTTCTCTACTTACTTATGAAGACAAACAAACAAAAACATTGATAAACCAACATTTTCCATTTCAGTTCTTCTACAAGACTGATGCCCACCAGCTGAAGTACCTGCAGCTGCTGTCGTCTGGAGCTCGTCAAACTGTGACCTACAACTGCCTCAACACGAGCCCGTACCGCGCCAGGTTCAGTACAGTATCCGGAGATGAGATTGACAGTGCCGAAGGCAGGTTCAAGAAGTCAACCTTCATTCAAGTTGTTGATGACTGTGTAAGTAGATAGTTTGTTGACAGATCAACCTCACTGTATATTGAACCTTTCAGTCTATAAGTGTTTGTATCTCCTCCTTGGTAAATCCCTTATTATCATTTAGGTCTGATGACACCAAATCTGTGTTGGTTTATTCTTCTTCTTTGGCTTCCTGCAAAGTGCTGTTGTCTGGCCTCACCTCTTTCAACTCACTGTTTCCCCATGGCTACATATGTTTATAAGTAGAGTTTTGTGATAGTTGATGGTTGTGTAGGTAGTCCTGTGATAGTTGATAATTATGTCAGAGTCTTGAGTAGTTCATGTTTTTGTAAAAGAAGTCTTGTGATAGCTGATTGTATAAGTAGAGTAAATAGTTGATTTTTCTGTAAGTAGAATCTTGTGATTGTTGATTACTGTGTAAGATGAATAATGTGATAAGTGATGATTAAGTGGTGTCTTGTGATAGTTGATGATTGTGTATGTAGAGTTTTGTGATAGTTGATGATTGTTGAAGTAGTCTTCTGGTAGCTGGTGATTCTGGAAGCAGTCTTGCGATAGTTAATGGTTGTGTAAGTGAAGTCTTGTTGACTGTGTAAGTGGAATCTTGTGATATTTTATGATTGTTCAAGTCTTGATAACTGTGAAAGTAGAGTTTTGTGATAGATAATGATTGTGTAAGTAGTCCTCTAATAGCTGAGTGTTGTGATAATGGACGAATCTGTAAGTAGTCTTTTATAGCTGATGATTGTAAAGGGATCAATTTTGCAACAAACAATCAAATAGGTGCTGTCTTCACAAGGGTGGCTGCATAGAATTAATGAAATTACATGTTGTTTTGTTTAGAGTTATTGAAACATTGTTCATTTCAAAATTGTCTTTATTGTACAATGGGCACACCCATGAATGCTCCTATCAGACCTAAGCATGACAATCTTTTGAATAGAAAATAGTAAATCAGCGTTGTTTATATTTTCACAGCGCAAGGACAACCAGTGGCACACAGCCGTCTTCAGCATCAGAACAAACAAAACCGAAGTGCTCCCAATTACCGATATGGTTCTGTTTGATGTTGGCCAGGAAAACCAGCAGTTTGGTATACAAGTAGGAAATGCCTGCTTTAGCTAAAGATGGATGTTTTTTTTTTTTTTTTTTAATCCAGCCAAATTCATTTTTACATTTGGCTGGTTAACAAATTTTATTTCAGTTTACTAAAATCTATCTTTGTAGGAGTATATTTCAACCTTACTTCTTGTAAAGATGTTATTAAAACTGGCAAATATCTGGACTCATTACATGATCTTATTTACTATTTAGTTTCGTAAAAACAAGTTTTACTCCTTTTTTGCCAAAGTTTAAACTTTGATATCAAACACAGGAAACTAATTTTTATGAAAAAGGAATTACCATGTTTTTAAAACTTGCTTATGGAAGTGAAGAAAGGAATAATGATGAATGTTTTAGCACATTTTGTAATCAAACAAACAGAGAACCAAAGACCATTGCTTTTTTAAAGCAGTTAGGAAACAGCAAATGACTGATTATTCAATTTAGTTTTATAGAAAGAAAATAATAATCGTTTCTTGAACTCATTTTGAGAGCCCAGCAACAAGAAATGAACAATTATCCTTTCATTTAAACATTTTATAGCAACATAAATATAACAATGGTCAAGTTTTAAAGAAATTGTCAAGGATCATTGCTTTAAACATTTTTTTTTCATATGTGCAATTTACTGGTTTCTTTCCAAGTGATGTTATATCGTTCTATCTCGTTTACATGTTAATGTTATCTACATACAAACATTTCATGACCTTCTTTAGTCTTTACATCAGTGTGTAATCCTCTTTGGATTCTTTACCAGTATTTACATTTTTAACGTCCTGTGCCTTATCTATATCCGTCCATTATTTTAGTTTTTAAAGCCATCATTGTTTTACCAATACCAGTATTCAAGTTATGTTTTTTTTAAACAAATTTTATACAGTTTGACAACTTGCTGAAAATACAAATAAATATTGTTTAAACATTATTAGATAGTTACACACACACCTTCAAATATATGCACCCCCCCCCCCCCCCCACCACCACCACCACACACACAAATATATACTACTTTTGTATTAATGATTTTATTATTGTCCAAGAAAATGATTAAACTGCATTTTTGTTTCCGGGTGTACTGTTACTTGATTTTAGAACCTTGACATATCTTTAATAAAGCCTAATGTGTTTGTAATTTTTCTTGGTTACTAAAGTGAGTTTTATCATATTGGTCAGAACTCAATGTTGTTTGTATTTTCAGCACATTTTGTTTTATTGACATATTTCAATTTGTTGATTAATGAATCTTGCAGCATACTCCTGGATGAACTGTTGAATGATGAAATGAGTGAATATGTTGTATGAGATTGTTACTTTGACATATTCCGTGTATGACGTATGAGGATTTATGATTAGTGTCATAAAAAATTCAAGCCAAAATACCGTAATCAAGACACCCTTTTAAAACTGTATTTTGTTTTTGATAAATACACATTCATTGCTGGATAATTTACCACCAATAAAATCTAACCATAATATTTACTGCAGGATAACACTAGTTCATTCCATTCAATAACTAGTAATAAAATACTGCCGTCTTTGATGTTTAAAATAAACATATTACCATCTGTAATGTTGTCCTGCGGTATAATTAACAACATCATAACGACACACACCAAACCCACAGAGTGTGTGTCGAATGGGATAGATTGAACTAGTAATGAAACTGTATTTATTACTGACATTATAAGTAAAAAAAATTGTTGTTTTGGTTACATGTGCATATATTTAAATAATGTTATTATATTGTAATTTTATGAACAACTCGATGAATGAAAATGTGGGTGTTTATTACACTGCAAAATTGTTGCCATTGTGTTAGCATTAAAAATAAAAGTACTTCAAAAAAATGTGTGCTTATTATTTTTATGTATGTGAAACATGGTAGAAATTTCTTAGATTGATGTGGGTAAATGTATGCACATTTGCTTCCATGAAGAGGGAGAAAGGTATTTTATTCTCTACTAGATCAGATATTGTATTGCCTCGACAATGTTAAATATTGAATTAAAAATCAACCTCACAGCACTCAGGACAATCCCATAAGTACTCCGTCCCCATCTTCAGCAGCAAGGGAGGAGTTCTAATTCTGATAGCACTAGTAACTGTCTGATTGTATATCCATCTCATCCTTCCCCTGAGTGTCGGCCAGATCCCCTGGTAACTCCTCGCAGCGCCATTCTCCTTAGACCTTGATGATCTATCTGTGCCTCCGCATTGTTCACTCGTTCTCAAAGGGTCCTCACAACTTCCAGCTTGTCATACATCAGTTCACCACCAAGTGGTGCAGAGATGGCCAGTCTATCTGCCTGCTCATTTCCCAATACACTGGCACACTTAGAGCCTCGGCAATGAAAGCTGGCTATAGTGGAAATGCTATCTTATTGGTGCTGTCCTTTGGTGGATATGTGCATCTTTTTCTGCATTTGAAATATAACACAATGAAGTCCACATCTCTTCAACCGGATGAATCTCATATTATTATCCAGAAAGAAAAAAAAGAAAAAATAAGTATTTTTTCCCCTAAACTATTCACTGCAAAACCAAAACTCTAGTTTAGTGGGCATTCAGATTTGATTTCACATGCCGAATAATCTCTAAATTGCATGCTCACTAATCTCTTAATCACATGCCAAATGAAAGTACACAGAAACAAATTCAAATCTCCCAGCAAACTCAAGTTCACACAAACAGATAAAAATTGTTTCCCTGATAAGTAAAACAAATTTAAGTCTCCCAATGTTTACTCTCAAACAGATACAGATTGTTTCCCTGGTTTGTAAAGCAAAGTTAAATCTCCCAATATGTGAATAACTTTTTTGCTTTAGACTATAAATATACTTTCAACCTTCTGTGTAAAAAACATGAAGTGAATTTTTTTTTTTTTTTTAAATTTACTATGCCTAAGCCTTAATTGTTGATAATGTGTTTAAATTCCATTCAGAGTAAAAGCTAGTTTTTCATTAATCTGTTAAATTGATAACAAAGAAGTTTCCTGTGAAGTAACAGCAGACAATATGATACACAGGGCTAAAGGGATAGAGAAGCAATAATAACAGCAGACAATATGATACTTAGGACTAAAGGGATAGAGAAGCAATAATAACAGCAGACAATATGATACTTAGGACTAAAGGGATAGAGAAGCAATAATAACAGCAGACAATATGATACTTAGGACTAAAGGGATAGAGATGCAATAATAACAGCAGACAATATGATACACAGGATTAAAGAGGTAGAGAAGCAATAATAACAGCAGACAATATGATACACAGGGCTAAAGGTATAGAGAAGCAATAATAACAGCTGACAATATGATACACAGGGCTAAAGAGATAGAGAAGCAATAATAACAGCAGACAATATGATACACAGGGCTAAAGAGATAGAGAAGCAATAATAACAGCAGACAATATGATACACAGGATTAAAGAGGTAGAGAAGCAATAATAACAGCAGACAATATGATACACAGGGCTAAAGGGATAGAGAAGCAATAATAACAGCAGACAATATGATACACAGGGCTAAAGGGATAGAGAAGCAATAATAACAGCAGACAATATGATACCCAGGGCTAAAGGGATAGAGAAGCAATAATAACAGCAGACAATATGATACACAGGGCTAAAGGGATAGGGAAGCAATAATAACAGCAGACAATATGATACACAGGGCTAAAGAGATAGAGAAGCAATAATAACAGCAGACAATATGATACCCAGGGCTAAAGGTATAGAGAAGCAATAATAACAGCAGACAATATGATACACAGGGCTAAAGGGATAGAGAAGCAATAATAACAGCAGACAATATGATACACAGGGCTAAAGGGATAGAGAAGCAATAATAACAGCAGACAATATGATACCCAGGGCTAAAGGTATAGAGAAGCAATAATAACAGCAGACAATATGATACACAGGGCTAAAGGGATAGAGAAGCAATAATAACAGCAGACAATATGATACCCAGGGCTAAAGGTATAGAGAAGCAATAATAACAGCAGACAATATGATACACAGGGCTAAAATTTTGACTTATTCATGGCATTGTGGTGCTGGGGTGTCTGTGGATTACCTACCTCCCCGGGCAGCAGCTAGAAATGCCCTGTACCAGTTCTAAAGGAAATATGGGTTGTGTTTCTGCCTTTCCCTTTAACACGTAGCTAAGGTGGGGCTCACAGTGTGCTCATTCCCCGCCACCAGATTGCCTGCAGGTTTCGCTGAGCTCTTCATGTCTCTAAGCATGGCCTAAGCATGAGTAGTTGGGGCAACTGGATCGTCACGTCCTGAGTCCCTGTGCCTTCACGATAGTTTCCGGTATTCAGGGGGGTTAGCATACTTGTTTCCATTCCTAAGACTGTTCAGCACACCTCTGGCTCCTTCCCTCCCACAGGGGGCAGTACGGTGTGGTGCACCGGGTTTATTATCGAGGTTTGCTCCTCTAGATCCATTGTGTTTTGCCTGGGGATTCGCACCCCCAGTTACCGGGACTACCTCGGGGAGGCTGTGACTCTTCGCCACGCACAATGGTCTTGAGGTAAGAGAGGTTTTGCTAGGTCAAGAGGCTGACACCACAATGGACGCTCCTTTCGTGAACAGATATTCACTAGACCTAGGGTGAAGTAAGGGGGGGAACCCACTACCCACAACACCAACACTTCTTACCCCCTGCCTCTCGAGGCTCAGTCCCATACACAGGGCTAAAGGGATAGAGAAGCAATAATAACAGCAGACAATATGATACACAGGGCTAAAGGGATAGAGAAGCAATAATAACAGCAGACAATATTATACCCAGGGCTAAAGGGATAGAGAAGCAATAATAACAGCAGACAATATGATACACAGGGCTAAAGGGATAGGGAAGCAATAATAACAGCAGACAATATGATACACAGGGCTAAAGAGATAGAGAAGCAATAATAACAGCAGACAATATGATACCCAGGGCTAAAGGTATAGAGAAGCAATAATAACAGCAGACAATATGATACACAGGGCTAAAGGGATAGAGAA